GCTAACAAAGTGGCCCTGAGGGGAAGATAATGAGGATTGTAAAGGCAAAAACTGCAAATTACACGTGTGCTTAGTGAAGTGGACCCTGAGATGGGGCCTCAGCTGGTAGGATTCCATTTTGAGCTTTGCCTTTGTTTTAGAGATTTTAGACTTGATGGGCCTAGTTCCCAGAATGAAAAAAAATGCATCTGGTCCACCTCCCCTTAACAACCTAACCCACCCTTGATTATTGAGTTAAAGACTGCCCACAAAACAGATAGGTTGTTATCTGGCTCCAAATGGTGACACCACGTGCTTACCATAAACCCTGCCTTTTGCACAGGCTTACGGTAAACTCTGCCTATTGTCCACCTGTGTGTGGTCGGTATGACTGTACAACCCTTTGTGTATTATGATCCCATTGGTCACCTGCACTGTGACCTCATGGATTTTGCCTTTAAAAACCAAAGAATGGGGGCTGCTCTGGGTCACCATACCAGATCCCGAACCTGCCTGTGCTGTGGCCCTGACTGGTCAGTGTAGGAACCTTCTCAGTAAAGTTGCTTTTTTGTTAACAACTTTGTTGCAGTGGGCTCTGTCACTCTGGATGACTAGGTGGGCTTGCCTGTCTGAGTAGGGGTCTTCCTACTACACTTAGTACCGGGGAAGTTTGGTACTGCAGCTAAGGAGACAACTTGGCTCCAAGGAGATGGTAGCAAACACCATCTGTGTATTCATGACCTAGGTAGGTTGTAAAGCAGCTTGTCACAGTTTAACCATATTCTGGAGGGGGTGCAATTTTTCTTTTTGTAAACTTATGACGGCCCTCTACTGTAAAATTGGGGTCAGTGGGAGTCTAGGTATTTTATGAAGGTGGTGGTTTGAAGCCAGCCAGGGCAGGAAAGCCCATGAGACTCTTATCTCCAGTTAACCACCAAAAAAGCCAGATGTACAGCTGTGGCTCAAGTGGTAGAGTGCTAGACTTGAGCAAAAAAGCTCAGGGCCAGTGCCCAGGCCCTGAGGTCAAGCCCAGGACTGGCACAAAAATAAGTGAATTCTCCCCACACAGAGAGGGGAAAAAAAGAGAGTATAACTTATGCAAAAGCATGGCCTTGGGTTTAGTCCCTAGCATTGTACACTGAAAAACAGTGTGTATAGATACATACAATGCAATTATTGCATTGTTATTAGTTTCCACCTTGGTCTCTCACTTAGATTATTGCAAAAAGTTTCCCAGTTCTCACTCTGCCCCCTTTGTATTGTGTTTTTGGAATGTAAGCCATATATGTCATTTGAAACCTTTGACATAGCCTGGCATGGTGACGCACCCCTGCAATCCCAGTACTTGTAAACTTGAGTTAATGTAACTATGAAAGGAGACCATGAGTCAAAAATTTTCAAAAATTAATACTGAAGCTGACCACTGTGGCTCACACCTGTAATCCTAGCTACTCAGGAGGCTGAGGTCCAGAGGATTATGGTTCAAAGCCATCCCAGGCAGAAAAGCCTACCAGACCCCATATCTAAAATAACCAGCATCAAGCTGGGCTGAAGGCATGGTTCAAATCAGAGTTAAGCATGAGCAAGAAAACCAAGTGAGGGCCTGGGAAGGTGGCTCAGTGGTAGAGTGCTTACCTTGTATGCATGAGGCCCTGGGTTCAATTCCTCAGCACCACATAAGCAGAAAAAGCTGGCAGTAGCACTGTGGCTCAGGTGGTAGAGTGCTAGCCTTGAGCTGAAGAGCTGAGGGACAACACCCAGGCTCAGAGTTCAGACCCCACAACTGAAAAAAAAAAAGTCAAACAAGAGTTCAGGAGGTTCTGAGTTCAAGTCCTGGCAACTGCCCCTCCCAAACATACATACAATACACACACACACTCTCTCTTTCTGTCTCTCTGTCTCTCTCTCTTTCTGTCTCTCTCTCTCTCTCTCTCTCTCTCTCTCTCACACACACACACACACACACACAAACACACACTGGTGAGGTTATAGAGAAAGAGAACCTTTAGATTGTTGGTGAGAATGTAAACTAGGACAGCCATTATGGAAAACAATATGGAGGTTCCTCAAAAAGCCAAAAATAGAACTGCCATATGATCCAGTAGTCCTAGTCCTGGGAACATTTCCAGAAGAAAGGAAGTCCATATATTAAAGAAAAATTTACATTCTGTGTTGTACACTATTTCAATAGCTGAGATATGGAATTAGCCAGGGTGTCCATTGATGGATGACTGAATAGTGAAAATATGGATTATATACCCAGTGGACAAAATGTGTTTTATAGAGAGAACAGAGAAGCCACATTTTGAGAGGTCAAATCTGGAGTCTTTATTAGAGCACTGGCGGCCTGCAGATGGCTGCCTGTCCCAAAAATCTGCAGTCCCATGAATACACTTAACACTGTCAGAAAAATGAGCCATGGGAGCAAAAGAAAAAGCAGAAAAACAATACCAACAAATCAGATCAGCTCCAATGGAGAGCTGAAATGGGACTCCAAGGTGATGGAGTAGAGCCAGGAAACAGGAGACAGGAGGCTGAGATCTGAGGATCAAGGCTTAAAGACAGCCCAGGCAGGAAAGTCCATGAGACTATGATCTCCAATTAAGCACCAAAAAAGCTGAAGTGGAGCTGTGACTCCAGTGATAGAGGGCTAGCCTTCACTATAAAAGCTCAAGGAGCCGGGCACCAGTAGCTCAAGACTGTAATCCTTGCTACTCAGGAGGCTGAGATCTGAGGATCAAGGTTTAAAGTCAGCCAGGGCAGGAAAGTCTGTGAGACTTATCTCCAATAAACCACTAGAAAACCAAAAGTGATGCTGTGGTTCAAGCGGTAGAGCGCTCGCCTTGAGCTGAAGAGCACAGGGACAGCGTCCAAGCCCAGAGTTCAAGCCCCAGGACTGAACAGCAACAAAAAAGCTCAGGGACAGCACCTAGCTCCCCCCCCCCAATGAACTGTCTGGATACCTGGTATTTGGTATCTATGCAAAAGTCATTGGTAAAGAAATATCCACCGGGAGGATTGCTGTTTGCCTTGCTTGGCCGATATGAAAAGTCTTTTTGTTTTGTTTTGACAGCTTGTTAGCAGGTACTGTTTTGTGACTATCTCTTGTTCTTGATCTTTTTTCCTTTTTTTTTTTTTGGGAGGGGGGAGGAGGGAGATAATTGGGCTTGAACTCAGGGTCTGGGCACTGACTCTGAGGTTTTCATTAAAGGTTAGTATTCTATCATTTGAGCCACAGCTCTACTTCCAGATTTTTGGTAGTTAATTGGAGATAAGAGCTTCAGAGGCTTTCCTGACCAACTGGCTTTGAACCTTGATTCTCAGATCTCAGCCTCCCAAGTAGAGCTAGGATCACAGGCGTGAGCCACCAGCACCAGGCAGTGCACAGTTATGTTTTATTATGTTTCTGTGGTCCATCATCAATCTCCATTTTCCTCCTGCCCTCACTAGTGACTTATAAGGGCTTCAGTCTAATTATGCCCTATTTTCTTAGTTTTATAAAATTGGCTTGTCTCGTTTTTTTTTGTCCTTTCCTTTTATATGGTGAGGTATTAACCTCTGTCAACATGCAGGTACAAGAAAAGGGAAAAAAAGCCGAATGCCAGGAGCCAAGCTCCCTCCTGTTGACTTAGGAGGAGCAAGGCAGATGCACTTCCACACTCTGGCTCTGCTGCTTCTGCCAACTGAACCTCAGCGCCTCACTTGGCCTCTGTGGGATTGGAGGGCTCTTCCTCACAGTGTGGGCCAAAAGCAGACAAGGTAGGCTCTCCAGGCAGGGTGAGCTCTGGCAGTCTGCTGGGTGCCATGGACTTCTCCTGCAGCCCAGATTCTCCTCACTTGTGGGAAGGCAGAAGTTCTGGCCTCCTGGATATGGAATCTATCATGCCTCAGTTTCTGCATCTGTAAAGTGGGGTAGTGGAGCCTGCCATGGTGCTACTATACAGGCTACCAGAGATGAGATACACCGCAATCCCTATCACATGGGAAGCAATCAGTAAATTGCTTTCATTCATATGTTCTGTTATTAAGCATTTTATAATTATGTATTAAAATCTTTATTTTACTATTACATGTTCATTTTATTATTCTGTATTCTCATTGCTCCAGACAAGGCTAAGTTTCTCCTGTTGGATGAGAATTCAGTCTCAAAATAGAGAAGCCACATTTTGAGAGGTCAAATTGGTAGTCTTTATTGGAGAGCTGGTGACTGCAGAAGGATTCTGGTCTCAAAGAACTGCAGCCCCTGCACAGAGCTTATATGAAGCTTTTTTTTTTTTTTTTTTTTGTAGGTTGTGGGGCCTGAACTCTGGGCCTGGGTGCTGTCCCTCAGCTCTTCAGCTCAAGGCTCTACCACTTCAGCCTCAATGCCACTGCCAGCTTTTTTCTGCTTATGTGGTGCTGAGGAATCAAACCCAGGGTCTCATGCATGCAAGGCAAGCACTCTACCACTGAGCCACCTTTCCAGCCTTGAAGGCTGGTAGTTTTTAAAATTTTAATCTTGAGACAGCATCTTGGCAAGTTGCTAGGCTGGCTTTGAAATAATTACTGTATTGCTTCAGTCTCCCCAGTGGCTGGGTTCATAAGTGTACATGATCCTCACATTTCAGCCTCTTGAGTAGCTAGGATTACAGGTGTGAGCCACCTGCACCTGACATTTTGCTGCTTCTAGAAGCCCTCATTCTGGCTTCTTTGTGTCCCGGGCTTCCCTCAAGCTGTGTCTCAAGAAAGACAGCAGCTCTGAGTTTCCCTCCCACAGGCCCAAGGGCAAACCCGGATCTGTGTTTCCTGGTTCCTGTCTGGCAGGGGGCAAGCCAACATCCTCCCTGGCTTCAAATCTCCATAGCAACCCCTAGACCCAACCCTTACCCAAAGGAGGATATGCCAGGGGAGAGGCTGGAGCTGGTGACTTTGCTACCCTGCTCCTGTGGCTGTCAGCTTCTGCTAGCTGGCCAGGTTCCCTCCCCTCCAGTCTCCACAAAGACCCCAAACTAGAGATCTGCTGCTGGGGACGGGGAGTCCCAATGGCGTCTTATCTGCTTCTGCTGGGTGTGGCCACCCTGACTGTGTCTGCCCTGGACACTGGTGAGTGTGGGGGGCCTCGCTGGACTCCCCGAGACTCAGCCCCCTTCCATTAGCTCTCCCAGTCAGCACTCTGATAAGTTTGGACCCTTTGAATGGAGGAGGCTGAGAAACACTATGCCTGGTCAGCTTGGTACCCACCGAGTCTATTCCAAACCCTTCTAGAAGGCTAGCGACCTGGTTCCCAAACAGCAGGGGTCTGGGAGTGAGCAGGGCCTGCTGCGCTAGGGTCTGGAGTTGGAATCAGCCCACATTGACACTTGTCCGAATGCTGCTTCCTGTTTCACTTCTTTTTCTTTTTGGTGTCAGTACTGGGGCTTGAACTCAAGGTCTCATGTTCTTGCTTGTCTTTTCACTCAAGGCCAGTGTTCTACCATACTTCTACTTCTGTTTGTTTGTTTGTTTTTGCTGCTTAATTGGATATCAAGAGTCTCACCGACATTTCTGTGTCACATGAGGATTCAGTGAACTGAGCCCCCATGTCAAAGACAGGCACCCAGGAAATGACAAGAGAATAAATGTATGTCATGGATAGGTCTGGCTTTCAGCCATGATCCTCAGATCTCAGCCTTCTGAGCAGCTAGGATTACAGGCATGAGCCTTGCTTCCTGCATTTCTCCCTCCACCCATTACTTCAGTTCTCTAGGAATTAAGACCCTTAAGTCGGTAAAGGAGCTGGGGTGTGGCTCAGTGGCAAAGCACCTACTCAGCACATGCAAGCTGCATGGATGGCTTCCCTTCTCAGTATTGCCAGGAAGGAAAAGCAAATTGCAGTCAAATAGGAACCATCATAGGTGCTTGCCCCTTAAGGGACAAGTACCACTTTGCATCTGAGTAAACTACAAGACACTTGACAGAGCCTGGCACATAAAGGGTGCTCACCCTTACCCCATGAAAGGACAGCCCCTGGCTTTAGTAGACTTTATAAATATGGGGAAATGCTTGTATGCCCTCAGTCCCAAAGGATTATCTTGGCTGTTCCTCAAGCACCCACTGGGACCCACACCTTGCCCCAGAAAATGTACCTTATATTCTTTGTTTTGTTTGGTTTTGTTTTTTGGTTGTGGGACTTGAACTCTGTCTCTGAGCTTTTTTGCTCAAGTCTATTGCTCTACCACTTTAAGCCACAGTGCTACCTCTGGTTTCCTGGTATTTAATTAGAGATAGGCACCTCTTGTGGACCTTCCTGCCCAGGCTGGCTTTGAACTGTGAAGCTCAGATCTTAACTTCTTGAATAGTTCGGATTACAGGCATGAACCACCAACACCTGGTTTACCTTCTATTCTCTATCCTTACAAAAATCACTGTAGGGAGTTTGAAGACTTATTTGTTCTCAGTTCTTACGAGAACTTGGTACCAAAGCTAATCTGTGCTATAAAAGACAGATACCAACCCTCCGGTGCTTAAGCTACTGAGTGGCTGTCTGATCCCTGAGATGGTTAACTAGGCAGCTCAACCATATAGCATTTCTCTGTAATGTTCGCCACCTCATTTTTGACAGGCAGTTGCTGCAGCTCCAACCATCACATCCTTAGTCAACTGCTTTCTGAAGCAGGAAGAAAAAGGAGGCTTTATCACAGTCTGATACCACTCCCACCACTTTTTTTTTTTTAATCGGGTGGAAAGCCATTCCTTGGGAACTCCAGAAGACCTTTCCTTAAGTCTCATTAGTCAGAACTAATAAACTATCAGAACACATAAACAATCCCTAAACCTGGCAAATAGAATTAGATCGCAAGAAACAGGAAAAGGCTGTGGGGTGAGCAGGTACCCAAATGTGTCGACCCCACCATTGAATGAGATAATAGAAATTGCTGACATTTGGATAACCCATTAAATGCTGATTGCTGTCTGAAGCTCTGAGCTAGACAGGGTACACAACCTTTTAGTTGCAATTCCAACTTACCATGGGCTCCAAAAAACAACATTTGTTTTTATTTATGGGCCACACTTGACCTGGACTGGCAGGAGGCTTGTTTTATCATTCTCTTGGAGCAGAGGCTGGGTGGGGATGAGCCCAGGGCCTGTTTGTCACTGGGTTCCAGCTCAGCATGTCAGTTGCCTTTAGTTGAAAACTTTGTTGTAAAGGTAAATCCAGTTGGCAAGATACAGAGAAGCCACTTTTTTTTTTTTTTTGAGAAGCCACATTTTAAGAGGTGGAATTGGGAGTCTTTATTAGAAAGCTGGCGTCTGCAAGTGTCCTCCTATCATGAAGACCTGCAGCCCCATGAATACACTTAATATTGTTAGTGTAGTGTTAGAGCCATGAGAGCAGGAGAGGAAAGAGGAGACAAACAATATCAACAACCCAGATCAACCCCAATGGAGAGCTGAAGTGGAACACCATGTTGACAGGAGGTGAGCCAGGAGACAGAAGACACGGCACACCAGGCCTAGTGTAAGTGCATCTGAGCTGGTCTGACCCTAAAATAGGCTCAGATTAGGAGGTAGAGTCACAGAGAGATTCTCCTAAATTCATGGCCTAGGGCTGACAGGTCCACTAATCTGTCGTCCAAGTCCCTGCCCCTGCCTCTAAGAATTCAGGCATGCCCATCACCTGGGAGATGGGATATCCCCTTTCTCCACCATGAAGACAAGATGGTGCCAGTTAAACCTAATTCCCTATCCACCACATGGCCAAGATGGCGCTGGTTAGACCCAACAACCCAACTTCAACTTGAGGCCAGTAATCACACAACTGCTCTGGAGGCAGAGTAGCCGCAGGATGCGTTTGTGGTCTCCATACCATATGATCTGTTTAAAACCTGGAAAATATCTGGGTGTCAGAGGCTCACCCCTGTCATCCTAGCTACTCTGGATATGGAAATCTGAAGATTACAGTTCAAAGCTAGCCTGGCAGGAAAGTCCCCGAGACTCTTATCTGCAATTAACTATTAAAATTTAAAAAAAAAAAAGCCCTAAATGGTGCTGTGGCTTAGTGGTAGAGCACTAGCTTTGAGCAAAAACAAGCTCAGGCACAGTGCCCAGGCCCTAAATTCAAGCCCCAGAACCAGCACACACACACACACACACACACACACACAGACCAAAAACAAAAAATAACCTGGAAGAGCTGGGAAGGTGGCTCAGTGGTAGAGTGCTTGTCTTGCATGCATGAAGGCCCTGGGTTCGATTCCTCAGCATCACATAAGCAGAAAAAGCTGGAAGTGGCACTGTGGCTCAAGTGGTAGAGCACTAGCCTTGAGCTGAAGAGCTGAGGGACAGCGCCCAGGCCCAGAGTTCAGGCTCCACAACTGAAAACAACAACTTGGAAAATTCTTCAGCTTCCTAGGACTACAGACTTGAATTCAATCTCTTAGTCCTCATTAATTATTCCGAGCTTTCCAGACACTTGAGGCTGTAATCTGTAAATCCAAGCTACTGGAAGGCTGAGATCTAAAGGATCCAAAGTTGAGGCCAGCCACCTCCAGCAGAAAGTCTACAAGACTCCGTCTCCAATTAACCAACAAAAAGCCGGGATAGAGGCATGGCTCAAGTAAAAGAATGATTTCTGCGCCTGCTTAGTCCCCATTTTTCCAATCACGAAGGGAGGGGTGGGGGCGCAGTCAAATCCGGACCGCGCGCATGACCACGATGCCTGTGCCCCTGGCCCACTGCAGCCCACCTGGAGGAGCGGTGCGGCCACACGTGGCACGGGGACGGGCTGCTGCTGCGCTCCCACGCGACGTCCCGCCGCTTCTACTTCGTGGCTCAGGACACTGACTGCTGGCTGTGGGTGCAGGCGGCCGCCCCCGGCGACAGGATTCGCTTCCAGTTCCACTTCTTCCTAGTCTACAGCCTGACGACACCGGGGGCCCAGGAGCCCCCCGCGCCGGCTGATCCCTGCGCCCCCGGCTCCTACCTGCAGTTCTACGAGGGTTCTCCAGAGGTGCCCCAGCCCCTGGGGCCCCCTCTGTGCGGCCTGACCATCCCCGCCCCGGTGACCTCCTCTGGACCCTTCCTCGGCCTGCGCCTGGTCACCAGAGGCAGCCAGCCCCGCGTGGACTTCGTGGGAGCGGCCACCTCTTTCCATTTAGGTGGGTCAGGATTGAAGGTCAGGATGGGGCTACACGGGAGGCTGTGGGAGCCGGGAATGGGGAGACCCTGTGGGCCCAGGGAGGTGGAGAAGCAAAAGTCCTATCAGAAAGAGATGCACACAGACACACACACACAGACACACACACACATAGCTGCACCCTCACACTAACCCCTTATATACTCAACCTCACACTCCTTGCTTAAACACAAGCCACATCATAGCTGCATCATACACACACATCCCCTTACACACTTACACATGTTTGCACTCATGTTCATACACAAACTCCTCTGGCTCTTCAGCCAACCTGTCAGAGGTGTGCAGAAAGGCAAAGCTAGAAGAGAGAGCATGGTACATGTCTGTAAGCCCAGCTATAGGACAAATAGAGGCCAGAGTATCATGAGTGCTGAGGTCAGCCCTGGCAAAGTTAGCAAACCCTGTATCAAAACCGAAAATACAGCCAGGCTCTAGTGGCTCACTTCTGTAACCCTAGCTACTCAGGAAGTTGAGATCGAGGATTGGGTTTCAAAGTCAGCCTGTGCAAAAAAGTCCGTGAAATTCTTATCTCCAACTAACCACCAGAAAACCAGAAGTGGCGCTGTGGCTCAAGTGGTAGAGCACTAGCCTTGAGCTAAAGAGCTGAAAGACAGCAACCAGGCCCAGAGTTCAAGCCCAGAATGGGCACCAAAAAAATAAACCAAACAATACAAAAAGGGTTAGAGTGGAGTTAGCTCAAGTGGTAAACACTAGCAAGATATGAGAATTTGAGAGGTGCTGTGTTCAAGCCCTAACACTGGAGAAGGAGGAAGAGAAGGTGGAGGAAGAAATCCAGATGGTCATGGATTGTAAGAAGGAACTGGTTTATGCAAGAAAGGGTCTTCCTGGACTGGTAATGCCGGTTTTTCAAGCTTCATGCCTGCCCTGTGCATGGCAGTTCAGTCCCAGCCCCTAGCTGCAGGCTGAGCCTCTGCCATGTTCCTGCTGCCCTCCAGGACATCTGCCATTTGTAGCTGCAGAGGTTGGGGCTTTTGTACTGAGTCCTGTCGCTCCAGTCCAGTGCCAGCTTCTACCCCAGCGGGTTCTCCTAGGACTGGAGCCATGCTGTGGAATCAAAACCCTACAAGGCCTTCCTTCCTTTCTTTCTTGTTTCTTTTTTTTTTGGGTCGGTTGTGGGGCTTGAACTCTGGGCCTAGGCGCTGTCCCTCAGCTCTTCAGCTCAAGGCGAGCGCTCTACACTTGAGCCACAGCGCCAATTCCGGTTTTCTGGTGGTTTATTGGAAGTAAGAGTCTCACGGACTTTCCTGCCCAGGCTGGCTTTGATCCTTTCACCAAGATCCTCAGATCTCAGCCTCCTGAGTAGCTAAGATTACAGGCGTGAGCCACCGGTGCTTGGCTCAAGGCTTCATTTCCATTGCTGGAGTACAACAGGAATGTGCACAGTCCCAACAAGGTACAGCCAGCTTCTGGAGAACCAGATCTTGACATTGACCTCATTTGTCTCCTTCCTCCCTGGAGTCTGCATGCCTGACTTGTGGATTCAAGACTCCCCTCTCTAGTGGAGTCTCTGGCTCTGAGATAAACAATTTGAAATGTATCCCCTAGAGCCTTAGGGCCATGAGTCATGGTCCTGGGGAGTTCCTATTTCTGGGTCCTGGAGTCTCTAAGGTACCAAAGTTCCTGTTATGTTAGGTTGATTTCCAAATAGCCTTCACTAGCTGATAGAAAGCTGGCAGCATGCTCCTCCCTCTCTCTGTCCCTCCCTCTCACCCTTTTTCCCTGACCACTGCTGTGCCTTTCTACCTGGGCAGCTGCCAGTCATCACAGCTGCTCAGCCTGCAGCAGGACTGTGTTGGGGTTCCCTTTTGTCATCGGAATGAAGAACTGTTCCTTTCACCCCTGCAGGCCCCTCCTATTGGTTCACCTGGGCTGCTCCTCAGGCCTATCTTTCTGACCTCGCCAGTATGCTGCTGCTTTTCTCTCCTAGACCCCCACCTGGTCCTGTCACCCACAGTCCTTCCCCAGAACATGTACTTTCATTCGCATGCAGAAGAAGCCAAACTCAAGTTAGTGGAAGCCCAACAATGGTGGGATATTAAGATGTTAGTCCAGCAGGCCACTGGTGGCTCACGCCTGTAATCCTAGTTACTCAGGATGATGAGATCTGAGGATGGTGTTCAAAGCCATCCAGGCAGGAAAGTCCGTAAGACATTTTTTTTGGGGGGTGGGGGTGGGAGGGTTGGTCATGGGCTTGAACTCTGGGCCTGGGCGCTGTCCCTCAGCTCTTCAGCTCAAGGCTAGTGCTCTATCTTGAGCCACAGCACCACTTCCAGCTTTTTCTGCTTATGTGGTGCTGAGGAATCAAACCCAAGGCCTCATGCATGCAAGGCAAGCGCTCTACCACTGGGCCACCTTCCCAGCTGCAACCTCCCCCCTCTCCCCTGCCCCTTGTGAGACTCATCTCCAATTAACCACCAGAAAACTGGAAGTGGCTCAAGTATAGAGAGCTCGCCTTGAGCTGAAGAGCTCAGAGACAGTGCCCAAGCCCAGAGTTCAAGCCCCATGACCGACTGCCCCCACCCCCACCCTCCCGCAAAAAAAGATGTTAGTCCATGTACAGCGGATCCAGGAGTTGGAGCACTGTCCCCTGGGTTCCGTCCTCTGTTCCCTGTATCTTTGCCCTGTGTGGGTCTGTTTGGCTTCTGTCTCAGGCAGGGCCCCCTCTTACTTCACTGCCTGATCACCCTGCAGCTCCCGCCTCCATCACCCTCACTGCAATCTCATGACAGACAGAATAGGCATCCTTTCCTGTGGCTCTAGCCAAGGTCCTGGGGCTGAATCTGATTGTTTCTGTGAGTTATAGTATCCATTTCTGTGGCCTGGAAATGAAATGTTCTACCTGGTGGGGCCTGAATTCCATGCCAACTAGAGCTATGTACTGACCCTCAGTCCCTCTGAGCTAGCTGTTGCCCACAGCATGGACCTGCCTGGCAGACACAGTGCATGGAGTCATACCATTATTTCACTTGTGGACATAGTCATTCACTAGAAAACATGAGCTGAGCACCTGCTAGATGCTAGGCTCTCCTTGGCTCTGAGGACACAGCAGTGCAAAAAAGAGGTCCCTGCCTTCTTGAATCACAGCGTAGGGAGGTGCAGTCCAGGGTGAAGAAACATGGAGTTGGGATGGGAAGGGAGCAAGCTGGGCAGGAATATAGGCAGAAGTCAGGTGGAGTTGATGGCAGGTGTAAGGCCAGGAGTGCTCAGGATACTGCAGGCTACACACATGTATGTGCTCCCATGTGTACAGATGTGCAGATCCACATTATGCCACTTGGTACCACTGTTTTATGAGCACAGGCTTCAGACCAAGCTTGCCTCTGACTTAATACAAGCTGTGTAGCCTTGGTCAGGCGACCTAAACTTGAACTCAGGGCCTGGGCACTGTCCCCAAGCTTTTGTGCTCAAGGATTGCACTCTATCACTTGAGCTATAGCACCACTTCCAGTTTTTGAGGGGTTAATTAAAGATAAGAGTCTCACAGAGACGTTTCTGCCCAGGCTGGTTTCAAACAGTGATCCTCAGATCTCAGCCTCCTGAGTAGCTAGGATTACAGGCATGAGCCACTGGCACTCGGCTTCAGTCTTATTTCTAACTCAGAGTTTATAACAGTATTCGGTTTGTGGCATCATCATGAGGATGAAGTGAGCGGGCACAGAAGAGGATGGAAAAGGAAAAGTGAGCTGAGCTGCTCCACCTCTGTGGTTATTGTTGTGTTCCATGTCCCTGCCTACACTTCTGTCACACTTATGCACACTTATGTAGGCACACAGCTCTTTCCTGGTCATGCCTCTCCCCCTACGGGCCCCACTTCTATGGCTAACATCATCCTGGGTTTCTCCTTCCTCTCCCAGGGTCTTGTGGCCCCTACTTCCGCTGTGGGAATGGAAGGTGCATCCCCCTGAGCCTGCTGTGTGATGTCTGGGACGTGGATAACTGCGGTGATGGCAGCGACCAGGATGCCTGGCCACCAGCCAACTGTAGAGGTAGGTAATGGATGAGGCCTGGGCCCTGTGGGAGCCTGACCCTCCTTCCCTTCCCTGGGGCTGGGTCTGTGAGGAGTCAGGTGCAGCAGGTGTGAGGCAGAGGGCAGAAATGAGAGTCAGGTCTTCCACCAAGGGCCAGAAGGTCTAGTCCCCTAGTCCCCCCGTTTCTGAGTGATGGTTCAGTGGCAGAAGGTTTCCTTTTTTTTTTTTTTTTTTTTGGTCACGGAGCTTGAACTCTGGGCTTGAATGCCCCCTGTAAGTATTTCTTTAAGTTCAGTGGCTGGGAAGGTGGCTCAGTGGTAGAGCGCTTGCCTTGCATGCATGAGGCCCTGGGTTCCATTCCTCAGCACCACATAAGCAAAAAGAAAAAAGCCAGAAGTGGTGCTGTGGCTCAAGTGGTAGAGCGCTAGCCTTGAGCTGAAGAGCTGAAGGGCAGCGCTCAGGCTGAGTTCAGGTCCACGACTGAACCTCCCCTCCCACCCCCCCAAAAAAAGATAAGCTCAGCCAGGTGCTTGTGGCTCAAGCCTGTCATCCTAGCTATTCTGGAGGCTGAGATCTAAGGACTGCAGTTCAGAGCCAGCCTAGGCAGGAAAGTATGTGAGACTCATCTCCAATTAACCACGGAAAAGCCAGAAGTAGAGCTATAGTTCAAGTGATAGAGAACCTAGGTCCTGAGCTCAAGCTCTAGTTCAATACCTGGTCTGATTGTTATAGTAACTTCTGATCTCCCTGCAGGGAGGTGCTTTAAAAAAGTGTTTTCCTCCCAGTTCTAGGGCTTGAACTCGGGATCCTATGCTTGTTAAACTGGTACTCTACTACTTGAACTAGTTGCTTTTTGCTGCTTGTTTTTGAGTTAGGGTCTAGAGAACTTTCCTGCCTGGGCTGGCCTTGAACATTGATCCTTCAGCTCTCAGCCTCCTGAGTAGCTAGGATAATAGGCATGAGCTACAAGTTCCAGCTCTTTTTGCCTTTTATAGACTTTTAGAACAGTTGTAAATTTACCAAATATTGATAGTTCAAACAATGCCCTGACAAGAGTTTTGCCTACTGTTAATATATTACTGGGACACATTTGCTTTGATTAACTGAGCAACAGTGATACATTGTTATTAAAGTCAGGGTTTCCTACTTTGTACCTAATATCCTTCCTGCCCTAGGACTCTGGTTAGTAGTTAGTTGTCTCCTCCCTTCAGCTCCTCCTGCTGCAAAGTTTCATACAAAAAAACATTACTGATGGCTGGTGACCTTGACCCCTGGCTGAGGTCAGCTTTCCCTTCATTTCTCTTTCTTTCCTTTTGTCCTTTTTCTTTTTCACTCACTCCTCCCTCCTTCCCTCCCTCCCTCTCTCCCTTCCTTCCTTTTTCCGTCAGTTATGGGGCTTGAACTCAGGGCCTGGGTGCTGTCCCTGAGCTTTTTCACTCAAGGCTAGTGCTCCATCATTTGAGTTATGGCTCCACTTCTGGCTTTGAGATGGTTAATTGGAGATAAGAGTCTCATGGACTTTCCTGCCCAGGCTGGCTTTGAACTGTGATCCTCAGATCTTAGCCTTCTGAATAGCTATGATTACAGGCATGAGCCACCGGTGCCTGGCAACTTGCTTTCTTGGTGAATTTCTCTGCACTGTACCCTGTGGAAGTTGCTATGTGCTGCTCACACTTGAGTGGGAAGTTAGGTTTTTCCTGTGCTGGAGCCTCCTAAAACATAACTCAGTGTCACTTCTGCAGCAACACCAATCTCTCAGAGAAAGGAAAGCCTCCCAGGGGCTCACAGGCCCCTGCCACCTGTCCTGCCTCCATGCTGACCACGCCCCCTCAACTTACTTCTCCCCTCCCACCAGCATTAGCCTTTCCCAGCCCTTTCCCTTTGCCCTCGACCTCTCCATAGAGCCACCTGGAGTGCCTCCACACTCCTGCCTTCTGGTCTCTGCCTTTTCCTCCACCTGGAAGAAAGGCTCCTTCCTTTGCCTCCCAGAGTGGAATTACCTCCTTAGGTCTCTGTTACCCCTCATTCTTTATGCAAGTTCTTTCCTGGCCCCTTTATGTAAAAATAATAACCCTGTGTCCACCTACAGAAGAGTGCAGAAAGAAAATGTGATCTATTTGTAAGATGGAATATTAAAGGAATGATTTTGTGACAACCAAAATCAACCCAAATCAACTTGGTGCTCAGGGAAGTCAGCCAGCCACCAAGGGCAAATACTGTATGACCAATAGGAAGGGCCCTAGAGGAGCTGGATTCATCAAGTAAAACCATGGTTGCCCAGAGCAGGGTTTAGGAATTAAGTGTTAAATGAAGACAATTCTGAAGATGAGCTGAATGCAGTGGTTCACACCTGTAATCTCAGCTACTTAGAAGGTTCCCATCAAGAGGACTGTCCTCCGGATTCAAGAAAATGGAAGTGAGCCCCCTTATCAACCAATGCTGGGTGTGACAAGGTGCATCAATTATGCAGGAAAAGGGGGATCACAGTCCAGGCTGACCCTATACCCAAATAAAATAAAGCAAAAAAGATCTGGAGGTGTGGCTCAAGTTGAGAGAACTTGCTGAGTAAGTTCAAGGCCCTGTACACATTAAGTAGTTAGATGGTAAATGTGTTTTCCTACAATTAAAACAAACAAACTCACCAGGCAGCAGTGGCTCACACCTATAATCCTATCTACTCGAGAGGCTGAGATCTGAGTTCCTGCTTATCTCTAATCACTGAAAAGCCAGAAGTAGAGTGGTGGCTCAAGTAGTAATGCACCAGCCTTAAGTGAAAAAAAACCTAAGGGATAATGCCTAGGTCCCAAGTTCAAGCTCTAGTATAGCACAGCCCCCCCCCCCCATCTCCAGCCACCATGCCCTGCCTCTTAGCCCTACTAGAGCACTTCATGTTTTTCTGTGTTCCTACACTACACTGTCTATTTTGCTTCCTGGTTGTGTCCCCCAGATTCTACAGCAATGAGTAGGGGGTGGTAGATACTACAGAATTATTAGTCAAATAAGCAAAGTGCAAGCTAACCTTGTAAATACTGTCAGGACCCAGCACCCAGCACCTGTCTGTGTGTGCAACTCCCTTGCTGAGAAGAAACTCTATAGAACCCCAGGACCTGGAGCTAGACTATGAGGTTATGTCCTCGTTTCCAGCTGTGTGACCTTGACAACAAACTCAACCTCTCTGTCCCTCCCTTCCCTTCTGTACACGTGGAAAGATGACACTGATAGACTGAGAGGTCTTCAGAGACAGAAGGATGGGGCTGTGTGCCACTCATGCTACTGCTCGCTGCAGGTACTTCTGTGACATCCAACCAGACAGGAAGCATGGCCAACGCCACCTCCAGGCCCCGGCAGTCTCTCTCCCTGGCTGTCAGGACTGCTGTCCCTACCCACACTGCAGCTGAGAGGCGCTCCACAGCCGACCAGGACGCCGCTCGACAGGATGTGGCTTTGCAAGGTGGGGCTCTTCCACCAAGATCACAATTGTCCCTGTCTGGGTGGTGGGCCTGGCAGCAGGCCCAGCCTGAGGCTGAGTGCACTCTTTCCTCTGGCAGGACCCTGGCTCTCGAGTGTGGCTCTGGCCTCCTTGCTGCTCCTGGCCTCTACTGGTCTCCTCACGGGCCTCCTTTGGTGTTGCTGTTCCCTGGGTGGGCCAGCCTGGCCCCCTGAGGTCCTCAGCCTCCGCCTCAGATGTGGCACAGCCTGCCACACGTGCTACCGGTGTCCTGGCCGGGTCACCCCGGGGATGCAGCTAAGCCAGCCTGCCTTCCAGCACCCGGGAGATCATCCCTAGAGAGGAAGGCGTGGCGCTGAGGCCTGGTGGCCTGGCTAGCTGGCTGATGATAGGCAGGCCACTCCGTTCTCTCAGCCTCTGTCTGTGCCAAGTTCCATCTTCCAGGTTGGGGTGAGGGTCCTAGGAGGTAGCATGTACCCAGCCCACGGAACCCACCTTGCAGGGTGAGTCGAGTGGAGGGGCAGTGGGTGTCAGGAAAGGGCATGACCTCCTGGCCCAGGGTAGGTATTAGGGCCGCCCTCCCTCACCCCCAGACTGCTGAGGCCCTACTCTGCCCCACCCACTGGCTGTAGCCAAAGACAACAGACCCCCGGCGGGGATAGCACCGTTTATTAAGAAAAACCAAGAAGACCACAGGAGGGTCCCTTCTAGGGCCTGAGGCCAGGTGCCCCAATGCCAGAGTCTGGGGCCGCTTTTCTAGGGTCCTCAGGCTCCCAGATGGGCGGGGCTGTCGTGTCCCCTCCTTTCCCCACCAAGGCACTTGTCTTCCTGACCCCTCTCCCCCACATCCTGGGCCTTCACCTCCAGAAGATGGGGAGTGGGGCTTGGCGTGGTGGGACTCTGGTGCTGGGCTCTGTCTTGGCAGCTCCGAGGTTGGAGGGGTTTCCCTTGCAGCCCCTGAGGATGGGGCCCTGGATGGTGTGAGGGGTGGTGGAATGCAGGCTGGGTGGAGGGAGGCTGCTGGGGTGGGGGAGTGGCCAGGCGGGGGCTGGTGGGGGCAGGGGAGCTGCCTTCTGCTCTGCAGTGGGCACGGGCATCCTAGCCACTGCGACACCACCTCTTCAGGTAGCTGGTAAGTCACCGGGGGGTAAACTGAGGCCGGCTCTCATAGGAATGAGGACTTCCCATGGCTGCAAAAATAGGCAGCCCAACTTGATGTTGGGGGGCTCTGTCTGGGTGGGAGGAGTGAGGTGAGTTCTGGATCCATCTGGCCACTGTGCCTGGTCCCAAGTCTGGTGGCCTACCTACTCCTCTCCCCTCTGCCCTGCCCTGTAGCCTGGGGGCTTTGGCACGTGTATAGGAGGTGGCATGCCCACCCTCCAGTCCAGCCCAGGGCATAGCAGCAAAGCGTGGTATTGCCTCAGTTCCTTACAAAAATCATCATAATATTAATAATAATATAGTTGACAATGCCGGGCTGGACGCTGCCCGGGAGTCCGTGGGGGGTAGGCGGGGCCTATGAGGGGCAGGGGCGTGTGTTGGCCCCTGCCTGGGCGAGGTGCTGCAGGTCCAGGGGCTGCGGGGGTGGCGCGCCAGACCTGGCTGAGTGCAGCACCAAGTTCTTGATGCAGCCGGTGATTCCTGAGGAGAACCTGCCCGAAGTCAGCATGGCCACGTCTGGGGCTCCGCCTGTGGAGGAAGCACAAGAGCTGTGGGCTCCGGAAGCCCAGGAGGCCAGGCCGGCTGGGGACTCTGGCTCCGCAGGGCAGGCGTTTCCACCCAGGCCAGGCCAGGACTCACCGATGTAGACACTGTTCTTCGTGTTCACCGCCACATTAGGGCCTGGGGACTGGCCGCTAACCAGCTCTTCACCGTCCACCTGGATGGAGCCTTTCCGGCCCTTTCTGCAGAAGAACTGGGTCAGACCCCTTCCCCCAAACTCCCAGAACACCCAAACTTCCACTCCTTTGGGGTTAGGACTCCAGACCAGACATGTCCTCTGCTGTGTGCCTTTTCTCACTAGATAAAGATTTGGCCTCATAACTCCCTACCCCTAAGTCTTCAAACTCCTGAGCATTTATCCAATAGATCACAAACCAGGCTGCACTAAAGCTACCAGCACAGCTAAGTTTGTTGCAGAATGGTTTACCATAGCTAAGATATGGAATCAACCCAGATGCCCCTCAGTGGATGAATGGATCAAGAAAATGGCATATATATATATATATATATATATATATATATATATATACACACACACACACACACAACAGAATTCTGCACATCCATCAGAAAGAATGATATTGTATCATTTGTAATGAAATGGAAAGACCTGGAGAAAACTGTATTAAGCAAAGTAAGCCGGACACAAAGAAACAGGCTGCATGGTTTCCCTCATTTGTGTAACTAGAATGTGCCTGTAAATCTACAAGGAGGGATCCTTCCACCTCCACCTGGAGTGCTGGAGTCATAGGTATAGCCACTATGGCAGTGGCCATGGTGTAAATGGGTGCAGTGGCACAATCACTGGCTAGCTCTCCTTCCACACCAGCCTCACATTCTCTCTCTGAACACACTGTCTCTTCCTTGCCCCTGGGGGCGGCAGGGGTGGTGGTAGTGTTGGGCTCCTTAACTCTTTCAGGCTCTTTCCCCTAGTGCCCGGCTGGCTCCCTTACCTCAGTGCTGTCACCCGATGCCATTCACCGTCATTGATGGGGTCTTCGGAGACAAGGTGGGCTTCCCCACTTCCCAGCTCATAGCTACAGAAACACAGACCCGTGAGGGTGTGAGCTGGGTAGGACCAGGGTACAGGTAAGGGAGGAGGCAGGTGGTAGGTAGCTAGGGTGCTGGGAGTGGAAGGAGCAAGGAAAGGGAGAAGAAGGGCCAGGACCCACCTGAAGACCAGGTGCCCATCCTTCAGCCCGAGGCTGATAAAGTCCTTGCTGTGACCAGCCTCTGCCACTTCCTGCCAAAGAAGGACAGGTTCTCTAGGGCCCCCACCCAGGACAGCTGAGCCCCCACAAGGGGCTACGGCTTTCAGCTTCCTCTCCTGCCACTGCCTGGGCCATCAGGAGGCTCATCTCCTGCCCCAGGAACTCTGAGATCCTGGGCCAGAAGCCCACTCACCATGCCCTGCCAGAGCAGGAGGCCACTGGCACTGCTGGTCCGGACTTCTAGCTCAATGGTCTCGGGGGCTTCAGGCAGGCTGTGGGGGAGCCAGGGGTGAGGAGTTGGAAATCTCTACTCCCATCCTCCACCCTGGCCTCCCATCCACTCCCATCTCACCTCCGGGAGAAGACACCACCGTGGAGGGCAAGGAAGCCGCCATCATGGAAATAGGCTCCGTACTGCCCAGGGGCATCTGTGGGAGGGTGGAGGTGCTGAGCCACCTGCTCACCTGCTGCAGCTGTCAGGCCTGAGTCGGTTCCCTTAGCCCCTCCATCTCCACCCCACTGCGGGACTGGGGGAAAACGCTGCTGCTCTGTTCACTCCCTGTCACTGACAGCTGGTGGCTCCTTGGATCCCAGGTGTGGCAGCTGAGGCGCTGGGACTAAGTCACTGATAGCTGCTTATCTCAGTGCAGACCAAAAATGGTCTGTGATCATGACTAGAAACTGCAGTAACTATTACAATCACTGCTACGCCTTGCTATTTAATGTGCTAATAAACATGTGTATTTCAAAAAAAAAAAAAGAACTCTTTTTTAGAGGGTTATACTGGAGTTTGAACTTCAGGCTTCATGCTTGCTAGGCAGGTGCTTCTAGCGCTGAGCCACACCTCCAGCCCTGTTTGTGGCTGGTTATTTTTGACATAGAGTCTCACTTTCTGCCTCAGTGCACACCTGGCCCCACATAAGATAGGTGTCTATCTTAGGCTTCTCAACATAGCTAGGATGATAGGCAAATGCTACCACACCCTTCTCAATAGAAACTTTTCCACCTGGGCTGGTTTCAAATCAGGATCCTCCCAATCTCAGCCTCCAAACAAGATTAAAATATAGGTGTGAGCAACTGGTGCCAAGTTTAAATATAATGCCCGCCCCTGAAACTGTAGTCTTCCTCTAGAATCTTACTTTAAGTACGCCAGAGGATGCACACAGTGGGACTGCTATCATAGGCTGTCTGTCATGTTCTATCAGACTTTATCTCTGAAAGTCCCACAGCCCCCAAAGCCCCTCAGGATGGAGAACAGCCAGAAATCCCAGGCCTGGATTGTGCGCTGGCCGTTCCAGCTCTACTGCTCATACCCCACCCCTCAGCCAGCACTGGCCAGAGCAGGCCTGGCAGCACAAGGGCAGGGGACACAGTGCTGCTCTCTGCCACAGGATTAAGATAACTGCTGACACTTACCAAAAGACCACTCTGTGCCTGACCATTTCACAGCCAGCTACATTTACCCAGACCCTAGTAACGACCCAGGAGTTGGTGAGGACATTCACAAAAGCTAACATTCTGCATCCACCTTGTTCTAAATCTTCAGTACAGTAAATAATTTAACTCTTCACACATAATTTTATCCAAAGCCTTAGGGAAAGATGTCACTGAGGTACTTTTTTTTTAAAGATGAGAGGGTAATGAAGTCTTGCCTATATTGATTTAATCATTTTATCTCAACTGTTAAGTAACATTTAATACAGGAGAAAACAGGCACAGAGAGGCTAGATGACTCATCCAGAGTCACACAGCTAGTAAATGGCAGGGTTAGGATCTGAACCCAGGCAGGCCAGTTCCAGAGTCCATGCTCTTAACGACTATACCACTGCTCCATCTTACACCAGTGGTAAGAGATGTGTTTATAACGATGCACAGTGGCTGTCAATGTTCAACAAACATTCACTTTGATTATTTTTGCTATATGTATGTATACATATATAGCAAATATATGATATATATATATGTATAATTTACTTAGTATTTAGTATGCTTTAGTATGGTTTGGAGGTTGAGCCCAGGGCCTCATGCTTGCTAGGCCAGTGTTCTACCACTTGAGCCACACTTAGCCCCTTGTTTTCACTTTGAAGCAGAGGTGAAATCCCGAAGATGTGGACTCTGCCCTATTCATCTTACATTTACTGCTCTTGGGCAAAGGTGAACATAGGAGAGATGTTTATTGACTGAATGCATGAGTACAGAAGAGGAAAACTGAAGTCAGGAGTTCAAAGGGCTGCCAAGGCTGTCTTGCTGATTTAGGCAGCTTCCCTTTATTGGACCTTTCAAACTCCATCACCTTGGCCTACTTTGCTTAGAGGCAGAGCTGAGGGTGTGGGTTAGTGGGACAGGAGACTGAAACAGGTAGAAGAGATGAAGCTGCCTGATTGGCCACAGGGAATACATACCATTGCCTCCACTGCCTTCCAGGTGCCAATCAGACTCCCCTGTACCATGTCTGGAGCCTATGGAGAGAGTGGGGTTTGGTCAGTGAGCACACACAGTCAGCTAGTGTGTCCAGCTTGGGCCCCAAGAGGGAGGTGGAGAAGGCCAGGACCAGGTACCTTGCTGGCAGCGTGGGCCAGAGAAGCCGGGGAGACAGAGGCAGCGGGTGCCCTGGCAGGTGCCACCATGCAGACAGGGCTCTCGGAGCTGGCAGGGGTTCTCCTCATCCTCGCAGAGGTCTCCTGCAGGCCGAGGCCAAGGTGTGTGTGTGGGGGAGGGGGCAGGCAGGGGCTACAGGGGCTGCTCATCATCTGTGACCCCTGAGCCCTGGGCTGCCGTCCTCTGGTGCTCCCCATGCTCTGGGCTGGCTCTCACCTTTGAAGCCATCCTGACACAGGCATTGGAACTCGTACTCGCCCGCGGGCATGCACGTGGCACCGTTGCGGCAGGGCTGGCGCTCACAAGGGGAACTGTCGTAGCACTGCCCAACACCTCGGCTACCCAAGAAGCTGTAGGTGAGGTCCAGTCGCTTGCCATTCACAGACACCTGTGGGCACAGGGACACGGAAAGACTAAGAGGTACAGGAGTGAGAGTACTGGTGGCTCATACTCATAATCCTAGCTACTCAGGAGGTTGAGATCTGAGGATCACAGTTCAAAGCCAGCTTTGAAAAAAAGAAAAAAAAATCTAAAGTCAGAAATACTTGTTATCAGTGGGTGTTATGAATATAGGTGGCTTTGATGTCTTTTTTATATTTTTATAATTTCTCACTTGTTTATGATAAACAGGTATTCCTTTAAGTGTGTTTGGTATCTATTTTGTGGGGGCAGGGGAAAGAGGTACGTATGCTGCAGAGAGCATCATGCAGTCCCGGAGGGCAGCAGGAACCCAATGGCAGAGATGCCCTCCATGCAGGAGCTGTGGGCATGCAGCTGTTATCCCCTGTGTGGAGGAGGAAGTGGAGGCTGAGTGGGGAAACACGTGGTCCCAGGGGCCGCTCCTCACCTCGCCTACACAGCCGTGGAAGTGAGCGCTCACGTTGGCGGCCGGGGCCAGCTTCACAGAGGGCTCTACTCCGCCCAGGTAGAGCAGGGTGTGCAGGTTGAGGCCCTGGCTCTTGCCAGGCGATGAGCGCAGCACAGGGCGCCCCCTGTTCACCTGCAGCTTGCCATCTTTGTTCAGGCGCTCTGCGGATACTCTGTGCCATCGGCCCAGGGCCAGTGGTTCAGGGCTCCGCAGGACAGCTAGTCCTGGGGAGGACATAGGGCAGAGCTGGACTCCGGGTACAGGGAGATGAGGGAGGAGGCCAGGCCCAACCCCACCCCAAGGTGACATGAGCAGAATAGGAATTTCACATCATTAGGGGTCGGCTTAGTTACACACGGCAGTGGGGAAGGGGGGCTTATTCCTTCAAGTCTCCTTGGGGCATGGAAAGCCAAGGAGGGCATGGAACTTGGCACCCAGGGGCCCATGTGCATCTGACCCCCATGCTTACCTGATCCCAGCTCGTAGCGGAACTCCAGGTGACCGCCAGCCATGGCCAGGGACACGAAGTCCTCCACAGGCCCGCTCTTCCCCCCGCTGAACAGCAGGATCCCGTCTGGAGCTAATGGCTTGAATTCAACATCCAGGCGCAGCTCATGGTGTGTATTGGTGAGGGCGGGCAGTGCCAGGTAGGAGCCAGTGCCCGACATGGATGGGGTAGTCACCGTCACACCTGTGGCAACCACAGCTCAGCCAGGGCCAGTGGGGTCTCCTGGGGGACCCAGCTTTTTGGTCTTCTCCTTGGACTCCCACCCACTCCTTCCTGTCTCAGAGCTCCGGGACCACTTGGGCAGCATCTGCAGTGCCCGGAGGCTCCTGGTCCTGGCTGGCAGGGCCAGTGGATGGGACTAGTGGACAGTGGTCCTTTCTGGAGGATGCAGGCTGGGTGGGCATGTGGCCAGATGATTTGGGGGATCACACTGACCATTTGCAGGGCCTGTCATGTTCCAGGGTAACCAGCAGAATGCCCGGCCAGCGCTGAGCCCCTGTGTTCTCACACTCACCCTCTTCACACCTCACCCCGGAGCGGCCCAGGTGACAGCGGCAGGTGTAGCCTCGACCGTCAGGCCGGTTCACGCAGGTGGCATCGGGTCCACAGGCCTCTAGGGATAGAAGGGCCGGTGAGGAGGGTACTTAAGGGACTCAGGACTGGGGGGCCTAAGCCTCGTCCATTATCCATTGCAGCGTGGAGGCTGCCCAGGTGGGGCCTATGTGCCCAGAAGAGGCTGGACTGAGGACAGTGGGCATGAGGAGGAGGGAAGCCTAGATCGCATCCAGGTCTCTCAGCTCCATCATCGGTACGGTGGATGGTTGTGCCACCCCCACCCCACCCGCTCACAACCCACCTTGTGGTGACAGTGGGGGATGGTACCTTGGTAGTAGGGTATTTGTAGGGTCCTAGGGAGGACTGGACTCCCTGAGAGGTCTTAAGCAGTGGGGAGGATGGATGTGAAGGGGATGCATCAAGGGTGGCAGCCACTGGCGCGAGTGGGGCACGCACCTGGGTGGCAGTGCAGAGCCTCTGAGTGCTCACAGCGGCTCCCAGTGAAGCCAGCTGGGCAGACGCACTTGTAGCTGCTGCTCTCCGAGTCGTAGCACTGACCTCCGTTCTGCAAGGCAGCCCAGGAGTCAGGCCATGCCCCCTACGCAGCCCCCCCATCCCCACTGGGCCAGCCGGTGGTGTGTGGGCGTGGGGCCACCTGGCAGGGTCGGTCCTGGCAAGTGGGGCAGTGGGAGATGCCGTGTGCGGTGAGATTGAGGTCGTGGAAGACAGTCTCCTCGCCCTGGATCCGCAGCTCCCGGACACAGCCTAGAGGGTGGGCAGAGGGCATGAGCCACAGCAGAGCCTGCCAGTCCCAGCACATGCCCTGCGGTGCTCTCCCCAGCTCTCAGTGAAGCCTTGGGCGGGGGTAGGGGGTGGGGGGCAGATGAGGGCTTACCCACAAAGCCACTGCTCAGCCCAGCCTTGGGAATGGCACTGTAGTCAGGGTAGCCACCCAGGTATAGCTCTTCGTTCAGGTCTAGGCCCTGGAACTTGCCCTGGGGGAATGGGGAATGTCAGGAACAGCACACAGCCCAGGTAGGGGTAGACTGGGAATAGGCAATGGGGTCAGCTCTCACCTGGGAGGTCCCATTGACAGGGGCCAGGTTGCCCACAATCAGTGAGCCCTGGGTGAGGCTGCGCAGCAGGGTCACGGTGTGGAACTGGCCCAGGGCCAGGGGCGTGGGGTGGCGGATGGTGGCCATACCAGAGCCCGCATCAAACCTGTTCCATGGGGTGCAATGGGGTGGGGCAGGAGAGTGGAGATGAGGGGTTTGTAAGAAGGGCTGGGGATGGAGCTCCGGAGGTGAGGCCATCGTCTCCTGTTCTCCAGGCTCTGCGGCTGCTCTGCTCCAGTCCTGCCCCTGCTTGCCCTTCCTCACCACCCACCCTAACCCACGCTGGCCTCTACCCCAGGTCCTCTATCCCCACCTCTGTCCCCAGAGACTCATGGGCCCTGCAGCCAAGGTCCAGGCCAAATTGTACCTCAGTCACCCTCTCTGAGATAACTTCACTTTCCTTTATGGCTTATGTCCCTCAGCTAGACAAGTGTCTTTGTGGGATTCTGTTCTGTTTATGGTATAAACATATAAACATCTGTTATGCTTTATATCATAAGCAGAACTCTGTTCTGTTTATATCTGTGTCAGTGCCCGGAACACAGTAGTTGCCCAGCAAGGAACTGCTGAATGAATGAATGAATCCTGATCTGCAGCAGTTTCGTCTATTTATTTATTTGTTGGTCATAGGGCTTGAACTCAGGGCCTAAGTGCTGTCCCTGAGCTTTTTCATTCAAGGCTAGTGCTCTATCACTTTGAGCCACAGTGCCACTTTGGTTTTCTGGTGGTTAATTAGAGGTAAGAGTCTCATAGACTTTTCTGTCTGGGCTGGCTTGGAACCTCCATCCTCAGATCTCATCATCTTGAGTAGCTAGGATTACAGGCATGAGCCACCAGTGCCCAGCCTCAAGTCTTTATATTTTTGGCAGTACTGAGTTTTTAACTTAGGGCCTCATACTTGCCAGGAAGGTGCTCCACCATTTGAGCCACACCTTCAGCCCTTTTTTCTTACTAGGTATTTTTCATGGCCTGGACCATGATCTTTCTATTTATGCCTCCTGCATCATGACATGTGTGCAGTACCACCCATAGCTTATTGGTTAAGATAGGGTCCTGTGAACTTTTCACTGAAGCTGCCATCAAATGGCAATTGTCCTGAGTAGCTGAGATTACATGCGTAAGCCACTATGCCCAGCAGTCCTGCCACCCAAGGGTACACTGTGCTTACTCCCGCAGATTCAGTGGTCACCAAAGCCACATCTCCTTCCTTCAGCAGTGTAGGACCAACTGAAGTCCTGTGTCCAGGCCCCGCCCTGTCCTTCTTGCAGAAGAATGAGAATCTCACCGGAACTCGGGCCGTCCACCCACGAGACCAAAGGAGATGAAGTCAGGCTGCCTGTTGGCCAGGTTGGTGGGGCCCCCTGGGGTCCGCTTCTGTCCATTGTACAGCAGCATCCCTGGGAGGCACAGCCGTGTGAGGGCTTCCCTGTCACCCCAGCCTAGATGACCCAAGCTCCAACCTCTCCACTCTGATGCTAGTCTATGATACGTGCACATGTGCACGCACGCACGAGTACACACACACACACACACACACATGCTCACACACATGGACCTCTAAGAAGAGGTTGAGAGCCCTGGGTGTGCACCTGAACTGCTTCATGCACCCACTGTGGTATGCCTGTAGGAGGCGAGGGAGGCAGAGACTCACCTGAGTAGAGCAGGAGGCCTGGGCAGTGAGAGTCAGAGGCCCACCGGAGATGAGAGAGAGAAAGGACAGGGTAAGAGACGGCAGGAAAGAGGAAGGCACAGAGAGCGGGAAAGGAAGCAAGAAGGCAGGAGGCAAGGCCTGGCACGGGAGGCTGGGTGCTGCCTGGTGTCTGTGGGAATGCAGGGCTGCAGAGCTGCAAGCCAGCCCGCAGACCTACGCTGCTTCCACTCACCGTCAGCTGAGTCGGGCCGGAAGATAATCTTGATCTCAAACTTCTTGTATGCATCCTTGATGGTGGGCAGTGGCAGGAAGGAGTGGGGAGTCTGGGTGAAGTAGGGCACCACCCGCTCTGGGGGCAGATGGCACCGTTAGAGAGGACAGCACTGGGGAGGGGATCAGCTTACTGACAATGGCGGGAGGCGGGGGGGGGGGGGGGGGGGAATCGTGTCCCATGTCCTCGTACCTGGCACCTGCAGGTAGGCGAAGGCTTTGACCTTGCCCTGCCGGTTGGTGGCAGTACACACATAGGTGCCTGCATCCTGGGGCCGGACGGCAGGCAGCATCAGCATGTTATTCTCCAGGCGGCTGTCCGGTGGCAGGTCACCATCCAGCTGTAAACATCAGCCCTGAGTGCCCAGCCTCAGCCCATGCCTCCTACCTCTGCCTCAGCCCCACGCTGCACATGCTGACAGTTACTCTGTGCCAGGTCCTCGGGAGCTGACATGACTCAAGCCTGGCTTCAGCTGAGAGACAGGCCTGTTGGCCCAAACCCAGCATTTACCTTGCTCCAGGTGATGTCGGGAGTTGGGTAACCTGAGGCCATGCAAGGGAAGACAGCTGCAGAGCCAGCGGGCACACGGACCTCCGGGGGTGTTGAGATCTGGGGTAAGGCTGAGAGAGGATGAGACATGGGCCATCAGTACCAGGACAGACACTGTCTGTGTGTCCAATATGGCTACGGCTCATCTAAACCTCAACTCCCCCCTGAGAGAGGCACTGGGTTCCATCCCACAGATGAGGGGACTGAGGTTGCTTATCCCTGGCTGCATGACGAGACTGTAGAGAGTTGGGTATATAGGTCCACTCAACTTTCACAATGCTGGGGCAGAATTTTGTGCAGCCCTTTGGGGATCTGAGAATACAGCACTGAGGCATAGAAGATATGGAGATTGAAAGTGAATCAAGATGGTAGAGTAGGACTGAATAACTGGAGCTCCCTCTGATCAAACAGAGGTACAAGGCCTTTAGCACAGAACTCCGCTTCAAGAGAACACAGGGGGATACTAAGATCAAAGAAGAGAAAATCGAAGTGTTCACTGATTAAAAAAAAAAGAGAGAGAGAGAGAGAGAGCACACAGGGGCTGGGAATGTGGCGGCTTAGTGGTAGAGTGCTTGCCTAGCATGCATCAAGCCCTGGGTTCAATTCCTCAGTACCACATAGACAGGAAAGGCTGGAAGTAGCACTGTGGCTGAAGTGGAAGAGTGCTCGCCTTAAGCAAAAGAAGCTCAGCGACAGTGCCCAGGCCCTGAGCTCAAGCACCAGGACTAGGAAAAAGAAAAAGAAAAAAAAACAACACATCAGCCAGGCGCCCATGGCTCACGCCTGTTTTTCCTAGCTACTCAGGAGGCTGAGAGTTGAGGATCACAGGAAATGGAAAGCTATCCCAGGTTCATGGATAGGTAGAATTAATATTGTAAAAATGGCCATATTGCCAAAAACGATCTACAAATTGAATGCAATCCCCATAAAAATCCCAATGATGTTCATCACTGAGCTAGAGAAAACAATCCAAAACTCCTAACAGCAAAAGACCTCAAATAGCCAAAGCAATTTTAGGCAAAAAAAAAAACAAAAACACAACAACAACCAAAGAACCCCACTACTGGTAGTATCACAATCCCAGACCTCAAACTATACTACAGAGCTATAATAGCAAAAAACAGGTGCTGGGAAGGTGGCTCAGTGGTAGAGTGCTTGCGTTGCATGCATGAGGCCCTGGGTTCGATTCCTCAGCACCACATAAGCAGAAAAGCCGGAATTGGGGCTGAGGCTCAAGTGGTAGAGCACTGGTCTACAGCTGAAGAGCTGGGGGACAGCGCCCAGGCCAAGATTTCACGCTCCACAACTGACAGAAAAAAAAAACAAAAAAAAAAACCCAGCATGGTACTAGGACAAGAACAGTCTTGAAGCTCAATGGAACAGACCAGAAGACCCAGAAACAAAGCCATATATCTACAGTTATCTGATATTTGACAAGAGAGCACAAAATACATGATGGACAAAAGATAGCCTCTTCAATAATTGGTGTTGGGAAAACTGGATCCCTATTTGCCACCATGCACCAATATCAACTCCAAGTGGATCAAAGACATCAACGTCAGATTTGAAACTGCAATGATTGCAAGAGGGAGTATGAACAACACTAGACTTACAGGCACAGGCAGGAGCTTTTTTGGAAAGAGTCCCAAGGGCACAGCAGATAGGACAGAGACTTGACAAATGTGATTACATCAAACTAAAAAGTTTCTGCCCAGTGAAGGACATAGTTACTAAACTAGAAATACAGTAAGCAGACTGGGAGAAGCTCTTTACCAGCAATACATCTGACAGAGGCTTAATATCCAAAACACACAAGAAGCTCAATAAAACCCATCCTCTAACCTCTGCTGCCAATACGGACAAGAGAGTATCCCAAGGCAGCAGAAAGGAAGAGCGAGGCAGGCAAAGGGTAATGGTGGCACAGGAAGTCCCTGCCCATTCCTTGTCTCTGGGGACCATGGTCCCCATGGGCCTCACCTTGTACCAGCAGCAGCACATGGGACTGGGTGGTGCCGGCAGAATTGGTGGCCGTGCAGCGGTACTGTCCCGCGTCGCTCAGCTCCACGTGGGCAATCCTGATGATGCTTCCACTCTGTATGATGCCAGGCCGCAGCCGCCCCCCAACTTTGCTCCATGTCACCTGAGGCTTGGGGTCCCCCAGTGCCAAGCACTCAAACTCAATAGAGTGGCCAACCACCACACTCTGCACGGAGGTGCGGGTGTTGATGAGCACCGAAGGCAAGGCTGGAGTGAGAGGCACAGGGGAGATGCAGGGTTAGGCTGGCTGGGAGGCTTCAGCCTGCAGGGAAGGGACCCTGAGCACCTGCCCACCTCCTCACTGGCTTTCCCATGTATCCACTCACAAGCCTACTTGTGTGCTCTTCTGCTTATTCATGTACTTGCCCAACTGTCCTTATTCACATACTTGTTCAAGAGTTCACTCTTTCGTTGTATGTATGTGCTGTGGTGTGTGTGTGTGTGTGTGTGTGTGTGTCTGTGTGTGTGTGTGTGTGTGTATCAGTACTAGGATTTGAACTCAGGGCCTGGTACTTGCACTTGATTATTTTGATCAAGGTTAGTGCTCTACCACTTGAGCTATAGCTCTACGTCTGGCTTTTTGCTGGTTTATTGGAGATCATAGTTTCCTAGATTTCTCTGCCCAGGCTGGTTTTGAACCACAATCCTTAGATCTCAACCTCCTGGGTACCTAGGGTTACAGGTGTGGGCATCAGTGCTCTCCTTCCTCCTTCACAATACTTATCCAGCCCCTGACTCACCAGGCACAGCAGGTAAAACAGAATAATCATCAACCTTGATCATGGGGAGGAGGGTCCTGGAATAGGGTACCCCTTCTGCTCCTAGCAGAGGCCAGAAGCTACCTCTTACCTTGGACAACCAGCTGGGCACTGGCCTGGGCCTGTCCCCAAGGTCCATGGGCCTGGCAAACATACGTCCCTTGGCAGCTCTGGTCTAAGTTCTGGATTCTGTAAAGGAAAAGAAGGAAGATACCAGGTAGCAGCTGTGAAGGCTTTGCAGTGTGTGGGAGTTAAAACCCACCACGCTGCACATGGCCAGCTCCACACATTTTTTTTTTAAACAAAGACTTCTTCCTGTTCTAAGGGCTCACTATCACCCTGGCCAAGTTACTGTTACCAACTGAGTTCTGGGGTCACTTGTAAATGTCTGGTCCCACAGCTATTCCCTTTTCTCTAATAATAGGAACAAGGGCCACAGTTTACTGAGGCCAAGTGTTTTAGATAATCACACTGCAGTCTTATGCAACCCATTATACAGCCAAGAACACTGACTCAGGCTGGGCTCCATAGACGGGTCATGTAACTCAACCCTTGGTGAGCCTTGGGTCCCTGAGTCAGTCCTGGCTCACCACTACTCACCGGAGCACCCCATCCTGCACACTGTGGCCAGGGGGCAGTTGACCTCCCTCCTTGAACCAACGGAGCTGGGTATCCCGATCACTGGGCACAGCACAGTGGAACTCAACGTTGGCCCCGATGCTCTTGGTCTCCAGCTGAGGAGTGACCTGTACTGTGGGTGGAGAGCCTGCCTTCCCAGAAGTGTCAGGCAGGGAGCCGGAAGGGCCTGTGGAGACATAGTTGACATGCTGTATGCTTTTTGTTTGTAAGGCAGATCTCGCTATGGTGCTCAGGATGATCTTGAATTCTTGAACTCAAGTGATCTTCCTGCCTCAACCTCCCAAGTAACTGGAACTACAGGTATTCACCATCATGCCCGGCTTTCAAGGCCTTTCCATGGGCATGGGTGCCATGTCCCTCGCACCTGCCAAGAAACATTCAAGAGGCGTTCTTCTGGTGATCTCTCTGAGCAGGGAACAGAGGTGTTTTGTTTTGTTTTTGGGTGCTTATTCGTTCTTTGCTCATTCATACTGTCATTCAAACAGCACTCAAAAGGCCAGAGTGGTGCTGGGCACTGCTTTCTGACATCCAGTCCTTGTTCAGGGAGTGTGGCCAGGATAGGCATAGGAGGGAAGGAAACACTGGAAAGACTCTTTTCCCTACATGTGAAGATAAGAGAACCCAGGGATGTGACCATGGGGAAGACACTGTGGGGTGTGAGTAGATGTCACTGTCACTGCTGTTCACAGAGTGCCACCCACAACCAGGGGCTTTGCAGACATGTTGTCTTTCTAACTCAGCCTATATGGAGGTGTTTTCTCTCTACCGAGAAAAAGGTTCAAGGTTAGATGACTTGGTTGAAGGTGCAGGCTGGGTTTGTCTGTGGCCAGATTTCAGGATCTTGACTCATAGGTAACATGCTTTGCTGCTTCTAGAATTTTGGGCCCCAAAGTTCAAAACCAACCAGGTGTCAGTGGTTCATGCCTGAAATCCTAGCTACTCAGGAGGTTGAGATCTGAATATCTCAGTTCAATGCCACTCCGGGCAGGAAAGTATGTGAGACTCTGCTCTCCAATTAACCACCAGAAACATGAAGTGGAGCTGTGGCTCAAAATGCTAGAACACTATCCTTAAGCAAAAAAGCTCAGGGACAATGCCCAGGCCCTGAGTTCAAGCCTCATGACCAACAGAAAAAAAAATCCAAAAGCCTCACGTGGTTTTGTAAGAGGCATGGAGATGCTGGATGCTTCAGAGATCCACTGGGGCCCTGGGCATGCTGGGGGTGGCTCTGTCACTTACAACTGTTCCTGTCCAGTGTTTACCCAGCTCCTCCAGGCCCATGGAGACAAGCCCCAGGAGTGTGGGATGATGCCGTGCAAGCCCTCCCTGGAGCATCCTTGTCCACCCTTCTGACAGGTGAGGCGTGACTTCCTGCCAGTGTAAGGTCAGCGTCCAGGGACAAGGTAGGAGGGAGCTAGAGGGGCCGAGGGTGGCAGCAGAGGGTCTTTCTGGAGGGGGCAGGCTGTCTGTGGCCATGGGGGAATGTGGGTAGGTAGGTAACAGAGGACCAAGTGGGAGTCCCCAAGTGACCAGGGTGGGGTCATGGAGATGCCTGGAGGAATGCTGACTCCCTTCTGCCCATGCGCAGCCCCGGCTGCTTACCTTGGACAAGCACTTGAGCAAAGGCCTCAGCGGAGCCCACCTTGTTGGTGACCTGACAGCGGTAGGTGCCAGAGGCCTCTGGGCCTGTGGGCTCCAAGTGCAGCAGCTCATTCCTGGCGGTGGCGCCCCCAGGGAGGCTGCTGCCCACGCGGCTCCACTGGAAAGTGAGTGGGGGCGTGCCATGGGCCAGGCACTGAAGCTGCACCGGCTCCCTCGCCTGCACCGAGGCATGCTCCGGGACGATGGTGGCATACGGTGGGCCTGTGGGGGGACATGGGTCAGGAGGAGAGCGGTGACCTGACAACCAGGGAAGCCCAGAGGCTTGGGGACTGAGTTCAGAGGACACAGGAGGGGATATGGGTAAGTGGCAGCGAGTGCAGGTGCAGAGGTCCTGTGGATGGGGGTCCTGGTGATGTGTAGGGGGGGGTGTCACACATCTCAATGTAGCAGAGCGGGAAGCACAAGGACAGAGGACTGGGTCGTACTCTCCACGTGCAGGATGACAGTGGCCTCGGCATGGCCCGCAGGGCTGCTGGCATTACAGATGTACTGGCCCGAGTCCTGCTGGGCTACTCGGGGGATGACCAGTGTGTTGCCTTCCAGACGGTGCTGCCAGGGCAACGGGGAGCGCAGCTTGGACCAGTGGATGGTGGGAGTGGGGTTGCCTGTGGAGTGAAACATGGCATTGCTTGCTGGGCTACCCTGGGCACTAGTTGAGTGTAGGGTGGCAGGCAGCATCCTGTCCCTCTGTGGGGTAGGTGCTGCCCAGACATTGTGTCATCCCCAGACCTCTGACATGTCTATAATTCGGGCCCTTTGGGTACCCCTGGTCCACCAGCCCTGTAGGCCCACCCTTGGCCATACCTGTGGCTGAGCAGCGCAGGGTAGCTGTGCGTCCAGCCTCCAAGGTCAGCTCGGCTTCTTCAACCTGGACCTGAGGGGCCCCTGGGGCCACGGTGCCCGTGTCCACGATCACCTCCACCTGCTTCTGTGCTGTGCCCAGGGCATTCTGGGCTAGGCACACATACGTGCCTGCATCTGATGGCTTAGCTGATGAAATCTAGAAGAAATCAGGGCAGCTGGAAGTGGGGTGTGGCAGGGACTTTGACCTTGGCCCCTTTCCATGGATTCTGGCTCCTTCACCTGGCTGCCTGAGGGCTCATCCTCATGACATCCCTTTACCCATCCAGCCTCTTGGTCATTCCTCTACTTACTCACCCATCTACTCTTCTCCTTTCTCCCTCCCTCTCTCCTTCTCTCCTTCCTTTCTTTTCTCTTCCCTTCCCCTCTTCTTGTCTTTCCCCTTTCCTCAGTGCCTGGGCTCTGTCCCTAAGCCTCTCTATCACTTGAGCCACAGCATCATTCAGGCTTTTTCTGAATAGTTTATTGGAGATAAGAGTCTCATGGACATTCCTGCCCAGGCTGGTTTGAAACACGATCCTCAGATCTCATCCTCCTGAGTATTATAGGCTTGAGTCACTGGTGCTCAGCTGAGATAGGATTTTTCTATGCAGCCCAGGCTGGTCTCAAACTCACCATGCTCTTATCTCAGCCTCCTGGGTGCTGGGATTATGGGTACATGCCATTTTCCCTCTCCATCCCCCCTTACTTTCTTCCACATTCCTTCTTTCTTCTCTCCTCTCTTCCAATCTACTCATTCACTCACTTTCTCCCTCCATCCACTAATTACCCACTGTTGTCCATTACCCACTCCTCCAGGTACCTACTCAATGCAGGTCCTGGACAGGGCCTCAGACCCTAAACTAGAACAATTCTGAACTCACCTTCAAAACGACATGGCTGTCTAGCAGCCCAAACATCCGTGGCTCCATCTTGGCTGGTGTGCCAACCCGGGTCCAGCGAGCAGAAGCACGGGGCTCCCCAGCACTGACGCACTCCAGGGTGATGTCCTTCCCAACCTTCACCTGCACAGGGCCCTCGGGGAGCACGGACAGTGTAGGGGGTCCTGCTTGGAGAAACAACCACCACTGACCGACTGACCCACATCCATCACAAAGCAATAGCAGGGTGAGCAGATGCCTCCTCGTCCTCTGCCCAAAGCAGGGTAGAATGTAAACCTGAAGGTTCTAAGAAGTGGGGATGGAACCAGGAAAGCAGGGACTGGGGCTGACACAGCCCCTTACCGTGCACGCTGAGGTTCACGACGCTTTGCGCCACACCGTAGGCATTGGAGGCCACACAGCGATAGGCCCCGTGGTTGCTGGGCCGGGTACCCACGATGGTGATGATGGAGCCATTGGGGCTAATGTGGACATTGTCTGTGGGGAGATATTGGGGGAAGCAGAGGTCAGCTCCTCTCCTGCCTTGGTGCTGCCCAGTGGTAGATCTCTACCCCATGACCTTGACCCTTTGGGTGTGGGCACATGACAAGGAGTTGTGGCAGAAAATGAGAGTCTTTGGTGACTCCTGAATGCAGCCCACTCACTAGAGAGAGTCTGCACTTTGCCCAGGGCCATACCTAACCTGTCCAGACCCTCATACCAGTGGCCCTCCTGCCTGCCTCCAGCCAGCCCCCGCTCCTGTCCTCACCTTCCAGCTCTGGGTTCCGGGTCTTCCACTCAAGGTTGATGGGAGTGGCTCCCTCATGGATGAGGCACTTGAAGCTGGCATCCTGGCCCTGCTGCACGGTGCTACTGGGCGGGTCAATGGAGATGACTGGACTCCGGAGACCTGCAGGCCCAAGAGGGAAGGCCAAGCTCAGAGGGGGAGGGCTAGCCCCACCCCCTCAGCTTCAGGGTCCTCCCCATCTCTGCCTTCCTCTCCCTGCCACCTCTAACACTCACGGTAGGAAGATCCTGCACTGGGGGGGACAGTGACGGTGAAGGAGGCCTCCTGCTCAGGGCCCGAGCCGACGGCCACACGGCACACATACTCGCCAGAGTCAGCAGGGGAGACGTGGGGGAGCCGCAGCTGGGAGCCATGCACCTGTCAGAAGGAGAAGGGGAAGCGGCCATCAGATTGGGGCACTGAGATGTGCGGCTCCCCAAGGGAGCTGTGCCAGTTCTTGGGGAGAGGAGGGACTTCAGAGCTCAGGTCCTGCCGGGGGGATCAGGCTGGAGGGGGCTTCTGCCATGGAATCCCAGAATCCACCCACTCTCTTTTTAGAGGAGGAAACTGAGGCACAAGTGATGACTTGGAGCCAAGGGCTTGTGCCTCATGCCTGTTGTCCTAGCTACTCAGGAATCTGAGATCTGAGAATGGAAGCCAAAGCCAGCCAGGGCAGAAAAGTCCATAAGACGCTTAGCTCCGGTTAACCACCAAAAAGCCAAAAATGAAACTGTGGTTCAAGTGGTAGAGCACCAGCCTTGAGTGAAAAAGCTTAGGGACAGCATGCAGGCCCTGAGTTCAAGTTCCAGGATCAGTGTACGTGTGTGTGTGTGCTTGCATGTGCGTGCGCATGTGCGCGTGCACACACACACACACACACACACACACACACACACACACACACACACACCACCAACACTACTTGGCAGCAGGGCTAGGAGCCCCTGGGCCTCTCAGCTCCTGCTTGGGAACTCTCCCCTCACAGGTATCCTGTCTATGTCCTCATTCAGGAAGTTCACAAGTGCAGGGAGACCTCTGCCTACCTTGGGGCTCCTTTCCACCCTGGCCCGTACCTGGTGCCGGGCAGGCAGGCTGCCACCACGTTTGTGCCATGTGACCTGGGCATGGGCCTGCCCTGGCACCACACAGTTGAGATCCAAAGTCTGTCCCTCAGCCAGATGGGAGGAGGAGGGCTCGATGTAGATGGGCCGGGCCAGTCCTGGGGCTGTGGGAACAGGGGTGGGAGAGGCATGGCTCCTGGGGTGAGGGCAAGGACCTGTGGCAGTGGCCCTGAAGGCCAATGATCTTCCTGGAGGGCCTGTGGCTTGAGCAGTAGACATAACAGGGCCACCTTGATCTACAGTCTCCCTTCCCAGGGACAGATGGCTGCTGAGACTCAGGGCAAGGTTCCCGTGTTTGGGGGAGGGAGCTAGAACTGCCAGGGACCCAGGCCATCTTTGCCAGTCATAGCTGCAAACACTGGGTGGGCCTGGTCTTCTATGGCAGAAAACACCAGGCCCAGGCAACAAGGGCCCTGTCCTGAGAGCAGAGACGATCGACCCCAGGAAGGGCCTTGAGTGGGGTGGTAGCACTGTCTATGGCTCCTTGCCACTCACCAGGAATGGGTCTTGGGCTGGAGGCTTCAATTGTGACCAGGACAGAGGCCTCCAAGGTGCCCGAGCTGCCAGTCACCCGGCAGGAGTACTGGCCAGAGTCAGCTGGGGACACGTGGTTTAGCCTCAGCAGAGAGCCGTGGACCTGCAGGGTAGGGTGACAATGGGGAGAAGGTGCTGGAGACACTGGCCCAGGCCTCCAGGTAATCTTGCCTCTGGTACCCATCCCCCCAGGAGGCCTGCAGGTGTGCTGGCTGCACACTGTCAAGACCACCCCTGGACACTGGACATGTAGACTCTAGTAGGTTTGTTATGGCATTCCTCTGGCAGGAGGAAGCCCTGGATCTGGAAGGGGTGAGTGGTCTGCTTTTCCACTTTGCACTGGCGTGCTGTGGGGCCAGTTGTGGGCCTGCCCTACCCAGCCTATTCATGAGCCCCTGACTCAGTCATGGACTGCCATGTGTCCAGCCACCATTGCTTAGGCCGCCTTCCCTTCGGGGGGGGTTTGGGAGGGACAGTTGGGGTTGTGGAGGAGGGTGAATCTGCCTTTCTCAAGCCCCATACCTGATGGTGAGCAGGCAGGCTGCCTCCACGCTTGTGCCATGTGACCTGGGCGTGGGCCTGCCCAGGGACCATGCAGTTCAGATCCAGGGTCTGCCCCTCCGCCACTCGAGAGGAAGAGGTCTCGATGCGGATGGGTGGGGCTCCACCTGAGGCTGGGGAGGACCAGGGGTCAGTGGGCTGGGACTTTGCCCTCAGCCCCTCTGCCAGGTGCCCCGATGTGCAGACCAGAGGCCACCAGGAGCAGCTTCTCTCCCTTCCTATTCCCCTTGGGGCTGTACTGCTGGGCCACCTAGGGATGGAGGCCTCTCCCTTGGCCCTGTCCTCAGCCAGGCTCAGCCTCTCCATGTGGGTCACTAACATCCAAACTCCAGTGGAGGCAGCAAAGAACACACCCTGGGGCCAGACTACCCATGTTCGAATCCCAGCTCAGCTATTTGTTGCTTGGGTGATCTTTAGAAAGCTACTTTAATTCTCTGTCTCCATTTCCCTGTCTGTAAAAGGAAGAAACCATCACCCTACCCCAAAGGGCTCTGGGAGGAGGAAATGAGTTAATATATAAGCAGCACAGGGCCTATTCCTGTGGCGTGGCCCTCCATGTTCTAATTCCTACACACTTTCCTTCTATTGATCTACTTTAGAAAACCTTAAGCATGTAGTTCCATTATAGCAATGTTTGTTTCTCACACACTACTGTGGCCACTGAGGCACATACCCCAGACTCCAGGGAACTCAGAGAATTATCCCTAGAGCAAGCACTCTACTCTCCCTTTGCAACTGAGGACAACATAGAGAGGGCCAAGTCCCTTAGGTGACACCTCTGAGTTGGGCAGGCGCCAGCCCACATGGCCAGGTCCCTCCATCCCGGGAAAGGGCAGGTAGGAGGAGGGGGTCTGGGACCCAAGGGGCTGCTGTCTCTACCTACCTAAGCATTTCCAGCTCTGCCATTGCTTCCCTCCCTTCTTCCCTCCTCCAGTCTCCCAGCCCCACACAGGGACCCTCACCAGGGACATGGACAGTGCTAGAGCCAGCGGGTTCGATAGAGACCAAGACGGAAGCTTCCAGAGGGCCAGAGCTGCCTAGCACGCGGCACGTGTACTCGCCGGAGTCGGCCGGGGACACCTGGTACAGCCGCAGCCTTGAGCCGTGGGCCTGACAGGGTAGAAAAGACAGGAAGGAGCAGTATAAGATGCCACTCCAATGCAGGTAGGCATGGCATTCCCTCCCTCAAGAGCCCCGGGCTAGCAGTTCTCCCATTTCCTTTCTGCCGTACCTGATGGTGAGCAGGGAGGCTGCCGCCACGCTTGTGCCACGTGACCTGGGCATGGGCGTGACCAGGGACCACACAGTTCAGATCCAACGTCTGCCCTTCAGCCACGTGTGAAGATGATGACTCAATTCTGATAGGTACAGCCGCTCCGGGGCCTAGGGACACAGGCAGTAAGTCATGGCTTGACCACAGTTAGATTGGGTTAGGAATGAGGCCGGTAAACCCCACATGCCAGAAGTAGTTAAAATTAGCACCTATTAGGTGCTAACAGTGTGTCAAGTACTTTATTGAGTGCTTTATGTGCACTAAGACATTAAGCCCTCATAAATCTGTACACTTGGTATTAATGTCCATTTTATTTAAATGCCAGTATTGGCACTTGAATTTAGGGCCTGGCACAGTCCTGAGCTTTTGTTGCTCAAGGCTAGTGTCCTACCACTTGAGCCACAGCTCTACTTCTGTTTTTTTGTGTTTGTTTTTTTACTGGTTAATTGGAGATGAGTCTCTTTCCTGACCAGGTTGGCTTCACATCTAAGCCTCCTGAGTGGCTGGGATTGGAAGCAAGAGCCACTGGTGCCCCATCCAGAAATGTCCTCTTCTACATCATCTAAGACAGGGCACAATTACCTGGGGCTCTTGAACATTTGAACAGTTAGAGATGGAATTTTAGAGCTTATTTCAATTGCTACACAGGGCTAGTGGCGCTCGGTGAGGCAGGTAGGAATACTACTTCCATTTTACTTACTTGGAGCCCGAGGTGGGGAAGGGCAGAGTCACTTGCTCAGTGCCTTAGTGGTTCAGGCAAGATATTGAACTTAGGTCCATTTTGCAGAGGTCTTGCTGTGACCATCAGCCAAGGTCTGCAGGTTCTAACTCAAGGACTCTGGTGTTCCCAGGGTCAGACTCACCAGAGGGGTTGCTGGTTCTGGGGGAGACCGTAACCACAATGGAGGTCTCCTGGGCTTCGATGTTGTTGTTGGCGCGACACACATACTCCCCAGAGTCCGCCACAGACATCTGGTGTAGCCGCAGGCGGGAGCCGTGGGCCTGGGGACAGATAGGGAAGGGGAAGAGCCTGATCAGGGCTGCTTTCTGTGGGCCAACACCCCGTCTGCTGAGGCACGCAGGGCACAAGGAGCCCCACTACCCAGCTCTAACCCCTACCTGGTGTCTGGCAGGCAGGCTGCCCCCTCGCTTGAACCAGGTGATGGTAGCCTGGGTCTGCCCTGCCACCACGCAGTTCAAATCCAAGGTGTCTCCCTCCAGCACCGTGGAGGAGGAGGACTCAATCCTGATGGGTGGGGACACACTGGGCACTGGGCACCAAGGGGGAAAGGACAGACCGCCCAAGTCAGCTGATGGTACTCGGGGCTGCGGTCTCCTCCCACACCTGCGGGCCCCAGGTCTGCCCTCACACTCACCGTGCATGGAGCCACTGCCTTGGATGGTGACAATAAGCGAGGTCTCCTGGGAGCCAGCACCATTACTGACATGACACACATACTCTCCTGAGTCAGCTGGGGTCACCTGAGGGATCCGTAGCCGGGAGCCCACGATCTGGAGGGAGCATGTGGTAGTGGGTGGGGCCAAGGCTCGGAGGCCTGGTGCTCAGTGCCCCCTGGTGGCCCTAATGCTTTCTTTCAGGCTCCTGGCATGGTGTGTGGCCTGTGCCTGAGTCTCTGGATGGAGTCTCTGATCATCTTCCAACCCAGGACCCTTCCACACCCTTGCTGACCCTATGCGTGCTTGCTGTCATATTCAACATGTCTGGCTCTCTTCACTTGGGACAGCAGCACCAGGCCCAGGGCATGTCCTCTCAGGGACAACAGGCGAGGGGACCCAGCTGAGGTACACAGGATATAACTGTATCCTCGGTGGGATTCAGGCCTATCCATCAAGGGTGCCCAGTGTTTGCGGGTGGACTGAGCAAGCACGGAACAAGGTCTGGCACCACCCTGGACCTCCCACCAGGGCCAGTGTCCTCCAGCCCGCTGGCTCCTACCTGGTGCCGGCTGGGTAAGCTTCCTCCACGCTTATACCAGGTGATGGTGTGGGGTGTGTGGCTGGCAACCACACAATTGAGGTCCAGGGTGTGCCCATTGGCCAGCGAGGCCGAAGAGGACTCGATACGGACAGGGTACACCATGCTCTGGGCTGGGGGGCAGGTAAGATGGAAAGTAAGGTATAGGTACTGCTGAAGATGGTGCTGGGCCCAGCAGCCCCCACCCACCATTTGCCACAATCCCCAGAACACTCACTGTGGAAGGGTCTGAGGCGCTGTTGGATGGTGACAAGGACTGAGGCTTCCTGGGTACCTGAGCCACTGGCCACACGGCACACATACTCCCCAGAGTCAGCTGGGGTCACCTGGGGCAGCCGCAGCCTTGAGCCAAGCACCTGGACAGGACAGGACAGAGATGGCAAACTCAGCTGGCACTCACATTCAGCTCTGGTCCCTCCCTACACAGCCAACTGGAGCCTGATAGGGAGAAGGTCCATTCCTAACTCTTCAAGCCCAGAGCCCCAGAGTTGGGGCAAGATGGAGCCTGCCACGTGACCTATCCTAGGGACTGCTAAGACCTGACACGAGCATCTGCTGACATGCTACAGAGTAGGTGAAGCAGGCAGTGTGAACCCATCTGATAGATGACCTCAAGGTTCAGAGAAGTCAAGCAACTGGCCTAAGGCCACATAGCAGGCCAAGTGGGAGAGAATAGTATCTGAACTTGAATATGCTTGAACTCAAAACCTCTATTTTTTTTTCAGTCATGGGGGCTGAATTCTGGGCCTGGGCGCTGTCCCTCAGCTCTTCAGCTCAAGGCTAGCGCTCTACCACTTGAGCCACAGTGCCACTTCCAGCTTTTTCTTTCTTTCTTTCTTTTTTTTGTCTTTTCTTTTTTTGGTAGTGGGGATGGAACCCAAGACGTTGCACTTGCTAGGCAAGCGCTTTGCCACTGAGCCCTGGCTTTCTGCTTATATGGTGCTGAGGAATGGAACCCTCATGCATGTAAGGCAAGCACTCTTACCACGGAGCCATCTTCCCAGCCCCAAATCCCTATTCTTTATTCTGTAGTTAGCAGGCTCTTTTGGACCCTCTTTCATTCCCCACCTCCTACCTGGTGTCGGGCGGGAAGGCTGCCCCCTCGCTTGTGCCATGTGACCTGGGCATGGGCCTGCCCGTTAACGAGGCAGTTCAGATCCAGGGTCTGCCCTTCAGCCACATGTGAGGAAGACGACTCAATCCGGACTGTAGGGGTAACTCCAAGTGCTGGTGACAGAGAGAAGAGGGTCAGTACCCCTCAGGAGGCTCACAGACATGGGTGTGAGTGGGGACAGGTGACAGTAGTCTCTTGGGAAGCGCGGGCTGAGGCTTGGCCTCCTGGTCCTGCCATGGCTGGAGGGGGAACCCTTCCCTGGGTGACCCCAGCCCTGACTGCTTCCCCAGTGCTACTCACCAGGCACAGAGTCCGCGGGTACAATGTTGACAAGGACCGAGGTCTCCAGAGGCGTGGAGCTGCCCTCCACCCGGCACACATACTCGCCCGAGTCAGCAGGGGACACCTGGTAGAGCCTCAGCAGGGAGCCATGGGTCTGGGCAGATGGAGGGTGAGGTCAGGGGGATCCTTCCCGGGCCCCCATACCTGGAACCTGCCACCTGCTACACCTGGAGCTCTGGGGCCTGGCCATCAGTGACAGACTGGCTTCTCTGTCTTGCTTAGCAGTGGGGCAGAGGGGGGTGTCTTGTCTCAGAAGATGGGGGCACAGGAAGAGCCCTGGGCTCACACGGTGTTTTTGGTGGTACTCGGGGCGTCAGGTTTCCTAGCCCAGTGCTCCACCCCTGAGGCATGTCCAGCCCTTTTTGCATTGGTTTCTTTTGAGGTAGGGTCTCATTTTCTGCCCAGGCCAGACTGGGCTGTGACCTTCCTACTAGTACGTTCCCGTCACTGGACCTGACAGGTGCATACCACTGTGCCCAGCCATCATGCTTCCCTTGTAGCTGGGATAAGAGGTATGCACTACAGTACCCAGCCATCAATTGAGATGGAGTCTAGAGAACTTTTTGTCCCTGCTGCTTTGAACTGTGGTCCTCCATCACCATTTCCCAAGAGGCTGGGATTAGAGGCTTGTGTAGGCTCACAGGTTGCATACAAGCTAAGGTCGTAAAGGAAGGTTCATCTCCAGTGCCTACTCTGATAATTATAAACCCATGGGATATTTCCCTTAGAGTTTCACGAATCAGTTGCACAGCCAGAAGCTGGCAGAATCCTAAATTCTATAAAATTTTGTGTACTGTGATAATGGCTCCCAGCACTCCCCACACGCTGAGTTCTGAATGTTTTGCAAATAGGTCACTTAATGTGATCCTGAAGACAATTCTAAGACGTAAGGACTACTATTATTGCTTCATAGATGGAGAAAGAATAGCACAGAGAGGTTAAGTAACTTGTCTGAGGTCACATGCTACTAAGTAGAGACACAGAGATTCCTCCTAGGCTGGCCTGGCCTGGCCCTTGGCTTCCAACCACTGCACCCTGCACCTGTGCCATAGACCTGAACCACCGCACCCTGCACCTGTGCCATGGGGCCCCAGGTCTCTGCCTCAGAGCAACCTCCAGCTCTCTCCATCAACTAACCCCTTCCGCTTCTTCTAGGCCCTTCCACCCTCTTGCCTGTACCTGGTGCCGGGTGGGCAGGCTGCCCCCGCGCTTCTGCCATGTGACTTGTGCATGGGCCTGTCCTGGCACCACACAGTTCAGGTCCAGCGTCTGCCCCTCGGCCACGTGGGAGGAGGACGGCTCGATGCGGAGGGGCTGGGTGCTGCCTGGGGCTGGGAGATAAGAGGTCATGGGGACTCCAGTTTGTCAAGGCCACCCCGCCTCAATTCCTTCCACACCCTTGCCTGGTGGCCACTCACGGTGGGCAAAGTTGGCCCCCTGGGTGCCAGCCACCGTGACTGTGATGGAGGCCTCCTGGCCATTGCTGGCCCGGCAGACGTACTCTCCTGCATCCACGGGGGAGGCCTGGAAGATGTACAGGCGGGAGCCGCGGACCTGGAGTGGGGATAGGTGGGTGAGGGCACTTCCGGAGCTCAGCAGATGTCCCACGGCCTTTCCCACCACCTGTGCACTGTCCCATGTTCCAGGTGCCGAGTACCTGGTGCCGGGCAGGAAGGCTTCCTCCACGCTTGTACCACGTGACCTGTGCATGGGCCTGTCCCGCCACCACACAGCTGAGATCCAGGGTCTGCCCTTCAGCTACCGTGGAGGAGGAAGACTCGATCCTGACAGGGGGGACCGGTCCTGGGACTGTGGGGACAAGGGAGAAGGTAGTGGAGACTCCTAGGAGAGAACACAAACTACCCACTTGGAGCTGTGTCAGCTGTGTGGTCTGGGAGTCTGAGCCTGGAGTCCTGGCTTGGCTCCATTACTGACAGAGGCCAGGGTGGGGGGTAAGCATGGCAGTGGTGAGCAAGGGAGTGAATGAGAGGAGGTAGTAAGGCCATGAGAAGATGAGGCAGGGGCAGAGACGAGAATACCATGGCCAAAGACAGGTGGTTGACCTGGGCAGAGCCCTGCAGCCGGTGCCACGGTGGCCGCCTCCCCATGCAGGCAGTGGCAGGCACCCAGGCTTCACTCCCAGAAGGCCCTTGGCTTCCTCCACTTTACTGTTACTGGGGCTGCTCACCAGGGATGGAGCCGGAGGGCTCAATGGTGACCAGGACAGAGGTCTCCGTGTGCTCTGAGCCGAGGGTCACATGGCACACGTACTCGCCAGAGTCAGCTGGGGACACCTGGTGCAGCCGCAGCAGGGAGCCGTGGGTCTGTTTGCGAAGAAGGAAGGTTGGAGGGTGCTGGAGCAGCCCCCCACCCCCGAGCCCCTCCAGCAGGCTGGCCCTGGGGGCTGCTGTACCTGGTGCCGGGCCGGGAGGCTGCCTCCACGCTTGCGCCATGTGACCCGGGCTTGTCTAGGCACTTTGCAGTTCAGATCCAGAGTCTGTCCCTCCGCCACATGGGAGGACGAGGACTCGATGCGGATGGGCTGGGTGCTGCCAGTGGCTGGGCACAGAGGGGTTGGTCAAAGGCTTGGACTTTGGCCTCACCTGCAGCCTTGGGCAGTGACCCCCAAGCCACGGCTGGGGAGGTCTCGGCTGGAACATACTCTTCTGCCTCCCCATGGAGCCAAGGGCCGTCCTTCTCTACCCCCTCTAACTTGGGCTCCACGCCCTCCATGCCCCGAGAGACAAGACATACAGAGGCCTGAACCCCCCCCTGCCAGGCTGGGCTCAACCCCACCTCTTCTCAGGGGCCCCAACATGTGTTTCTGTGTGGGTCACCACCACACTACAGACAGTGTGGTCTCCCTTTCACAGATAAGGGAAGTGAGGCTGACAAAGCCCTGTGTCAGGATGTGAACCCAGGCCAGTTCCAGGCCAGCCAGACCCCCGTCCAGCCTAGCCTCCACTCCCCGAGCCCATGGTACGGGACCACAGCCTGCCCTGGGCCACTGAGGACCATGGATGTCCTCCCCACAGTGGGGAGACCCCAGGACTCGACCTGGCTCCTCACCTAGGGTGTGGCTGGGGCCTGAGGGGGTGCTGAGGACGGAGACGACAATGGAAGCCTCCTTGGGGCCCAATTCACTCTCCACGCGGCACACGTAGTCTCCAGAGTCAGCTGGGGAGACCTGGGGGAGCCGCAGCCGGGAGCCATGGACCTGCGTGGTAGGGTGGGGGGTGAAGAGAAAACAGAAACAAGGCTGGACTCTGTTGTCCTTAGATCTGGACGATACAGTCATCAAACTCTGAGCCACTGAGAGCACTGGAGGTAGGGGAGACAGCCCTGGCCCTTTGCTGGGGAGTGTCGGGCTGCAGGAGCCCCCAACCCCCTTGCTCCATATTTTGGGGGTTTCCTACCTGGGCGTGGGGAGGCAGGCTGCCCCCTCGCTTGTACCACGTGATCTGGGTGTGGGCCAACCCCGTCACTGCACAGTTCAGGTCCAGGGTCTGCCCTTCAGTCACTGATGGCGAGGAAGACTCAATCCTCACTGGCAAGGTGCTGGCACCTGAGGCTGTGACCACAGGGAGGTGAGTGGACGCCAGAGAACAGGGGTTCATCCTTCCCTTGCCTGTGGCCCCTGAGTCCCCTGTACCTGACAAGACGACCACCTGGATGCGTGCCTGGGAAGTGCCTGTGGGGCTGGTGGCCACGCAGAGGTAGAAGCCAGCGTCAGCGAGCGTCACGGCTGGGATGATCAGCGTGGCGATGTCTGTGTGTTCAGAGCGGGCCTGGTAGATGGAGAGGGTCAGTTACATGGCATAGAGCCTGGCCATGTGAGCTTGGCAGAGGGTGCCAGTGTGAAAGGGGCAGGGACAGAGCTGAGATCAAGTCCCAGTAGGGCCCTGAGAACCACGGAACCAGTGAAGAGATGGGCAGGACAACCTGCTGGGTGCAGGGCCCGGGAGCCGGAGAGGAGCGGGGCAGGTGGAGTGGGAGGTGAGGCAGGGGCTGGGCTGCACTGAGCCTGGGGACCTGTGGGGCTCCATTTTCTCACCTGTGGAGGCAGGCTGCCCCCTTCCTTTCTCCAGGTGATGCTGGTGCTGGGCACACCTAACACTCTGCAGTACAGCCTGACTGTGCGGCCCTCAGTCACCTGAGTCCTCTCTGGGCTCACCTGGACCCTGGGTCCGCTGCCACCTGCGACAGAACCTGATGAGAATCGCCTCAGGCGTGCCCACAGGCCCCAGCCCCTGCCTCGGCCTGCCCCTCTCACCTTGCACCTGAAGCAGGGCTCTGGCCACGTGCTGTCCAGCACTGCTGTGGGCTCGGCACAGGTACTGGCTCTGATCCGAGGGCTCGACGGCAGGCAGGCGCAGGATGCCACCGTGGATCTGAGCCTTCTGAGGTAGCTGGCCCCCAGGGCCTCCTGGAATGGACACATGCAGTGAGCAGCTGCTGGGGCTGGCCCGGCTCGGGAACCTCCCTTCCCCAGTGGCAGTTAACCCCATGGCCTTGCCCTGCCCTGGCAGAGGAGCCCAGCCCCTGAAGGTTGCTGTCATCTCTGCCTCACCTGACCACTCCAGGGTGGGCGGGGGGTTCCCTGTGGCGCTGCAGCGGAACTCAGCCAACTGCCCAGGCTGCACTGTGAGCTGGGGCGGGCTGATGGAGACCACGGGGGCAGATAAGGTGCCAGAGGCTGAGAAGGAGGGGAGAAAGGAAGACATGTTACATGATCCACAACTACAGCCTCCTTGCCACTCTATCCCTGGTGGCCATCTGCCGTACTATAGCCACAGGGAGTTTTTCAAACAGTAATGACCTCGCTGCTTCCCTACTAGAGACCTGCCTGTGCTGCCTATTGCTGAAAAGAAAATCCCAACTCCCTATTCTTCTCTATCACAAGTAGATATCTCTGCAGTACCTTCCAGTCCTCATGTACCTTTTGCAAAGCCAGGTTGGCTTTGCTTTCCCTTAAAGACATCAACATGTTCCAGGCCCCAGGGACTTTGCATGTGCTGCCTCCAGGGCTGAGATCACCCAGAGGTTCTGAGGAGGGCTGAGATAGTGTTTGTCCTTCTGTTCCTTGCTTTCTCAGAGCCTAAACCAGGACCTGGCACGCTGTAGGAGCCCAGAAACGTCCCAGTGCATTAGCAATGATGGGTCATGGAGGGTCAGGTAGTGATGAGACGTGCCTTGTACGTGCAGAGTGGCCGTGCCCAGGTCCATGGCAAACATGTTGGAGCCGGTACATGTGTAGGTGCCTGCGTCACTCGGCTGCACGTTGCGAATGGTGAGGATGCCGTTGAAGTCCATGGCCCGGGAGGGCAGCTTCTCATTGTGCAGGCGGGTCCACACCAGGGTATAGGCTGGGGACTGCAAGGCAAGGGGGCAGGCTGAGCAGCGTGTGCGGGCTCTGAGATCCCAGGATATGGACCCCCCGTCCCCTCTGTGCCCACCCACCTTGCTCTTGGCTGTGCAGACAAAGGTGACGTCGGCTCCGGGGCGCACACTCTGGCTCCGTGGCTCCTCCACAGTCACCGTGATGGGCTTGCTGGGAGCCTCTGTGGGATAGGAAGCCCCTCCTGAGCAGGGGTTGGCCAGGTCCCTGCCTTGTGGCTGTGTTCTTTCTCTGTCACCTCCGCCTGCCCACCCCTGCTCCAACCAGCACTGCTGAGAGCCGACGGCTGCAGCCATCTCTTCTCTCCCTTGCTATGGGATCACTCTCCTTCACAGACTGGTATGTTCTAGAAGTTTCCTTTTCTGAAAGTGACTGTCAGCCTCATCTTTCCTACCGCTTCATTGATCTTTAAGTCAATAATATATATATATATATATATATATATATATTCATTTTTTATTTATTTTTTGTTTTGGGGCTTGCACTCAGAGCCAGAATGCTGTCCCTGAGCTTTTCCCCTCAAGGCTAGCACTCTACCACTTTGAGCCACAGTACCACTTCTGGTTTTCTGGTGAACATTAGAGTCTCATGGACTTTCCTGCCTGGGCTGGCTTCAAGCTGTGATCCTCAGATCTCAGCCTCCTGAGTAGCAAGGATTACAGGCCTGACCTACCAGCAGTCTGGCTGATAATAGTCCCCCCTTCCCCTTGTATTAGGTACCTTTTCTTCCTAGGCCTGCTTCCCTTCCCTGAGCTTTTTATTTTAGAGTCACTGGGGTTAAACTCAGGGCTTCAGGCCCTTTGAGCCATGCGTCTAGCCATTCACTGTTGCTTTTATTTTTCCAATAGGAACTCATGCTTTTACCCAGGTCAGCCTTGGGCCTCGATTCTTCTACATCTGCCTTCCAAGCTGGATCCCCCACACTGCCCTTGAGCTTCTTGCTCACAAATCCTGTCTCAGATTTAGCTTGGGGAAAGCCCACAGGGAGACAACTTCAAACTGACACCTTTCTCACCTCAGTAAACAACACCCTATTCCCACAGCTCTAGAACCTAGGCTCCAGGCAGCATCCCTGTCTCTTACCCTCAGTGACCACAAAGACCTACCCATTCTTCTCTAAAACAGATCACCTCTTCCCAGCTGTGTGGCTGCTGTCTTCATACTGCAACCTCCCCTTCCTCCACAGATGAATGTACCTTGGCTTAGGACTGTGCTGTAGCCCGGCTTAGGCAGGGCCAGGGTGGGGCGGGGGTGGGGGGCTCACCAGAGACCAGAAGCTCTGCCCGGCTGTTGCTAGTGTGGTGGAGGTTCCGGCAGGTACAGATGTAGACGCCAGCATCAGAGGGCTGTACGCTGGGGAAGTGGAGCTCCGAGCCTGGTAGATGGGGAGGGTAGCTCGTCAGTGCCCACGTCCCTTCTTCTACCCAGCCCCAGATGCAGGGAAAGGACTGGGCATGGCCATCACCAGATGATGCCTGAGCCTGAGAAGCCTGGGGCTGTGGGTACCTTGATGCCGTTGTTGGGCACTGCTGGGCATAGGCCGTCCATCTTCCCTGGACCAGTAGAAGTAGTGGGGAGGGCTCCCAGTGACTTTGCACTGCAGGGAGTGGGGGCCACCTTGGGGTACCACACTCCGAGTAGGATGGACCTGGACAACCAGTGGGGCTTCGTCTGCTGGGGTGGGGGAAGGATTGGCATTTAGGCAGGAGGTCCCTGTATGCAGCCCTCCCAAAGACAGCCCCATCTCCCCCAAATCCCCCACGTCAGGACCCCACTCACCTTCAGGCAAACAGCGCCCCCCCTGCACATTGGGGTTACCCACATAACCTGGGGCACACCTGTCAGGAGGAAGAAGATTAGCTCTGTCAAAGTCCCAAGGGACCCAGAGCTGAACAGTGAACTTGGGGAGCTGGAAGCTCAGCCCACTACCCACTGTGGGATGGAAGTGGAGGGCTTTGGAAGAACTCTGGTCCCCAACTCAGGCCTTCAGGGGGCAGGAGACTGTAATGGGAGTGTAAGCTGGCTGGGTAAGGAGGGTCAGGCCTTTATTCTCCAGAGAGACATTCAGTCAACAAATGTTTATTAGGCAACTACTATGCTGCAGGCACCACACCCATGTGCTGGAAAAAACAGAACAAACATGGCCAAGTCTGTGATCTTGTGGAACGTGGTAGCTGGGAAGCCAATACGGAGACATTGTGTGAAATGAGAGATATATGTGGGCTGTGAGGACCCAGATTCCTGAGACCAGGAGCTTCCCAGAGGAAGCTGTTGTATCCACTCAAAGGCTGCATTTTTTTTTCAAAGAAACTATGCTGTTTGTAAATAGATACATATATCATAGTTTTTTTTCTCCCTGACTTGTTTCCAATTACAGGCTCCAGAAGACTGAAACAGATCTGTTTTGTTTGTCCCTTTATCTCAGTGCCTCGGCACACTGCCTGACACATGGTGAATACACACTAAAAATGTGCTGAGTGGGGTGAGGCGGCTCGTGCCTGTAATCCCAACACTTAGGAGGCTGAGGCAGAAGCATGAGGTTCAAAGTCAGCCTGAGTGACATGCAAGACTGTCTCAACACAAACAAACAAACAAAACACAAAATGAAATGGGATACGGTGGCTTGTTCCTACAATCCTAGCTACTTGGGAAGCTAAGATTGGGAGGATTGTGGTTCCAGATCAGCCTGAGTATGTTACGTCTGAGTTTTTTTTTTTTTTT